GAATTGGCAATGCAGGTAAGGTGGCGGTCAGGGCAAACAAGATCTGAAACACCCACCTTAGTTTGGATGCCTGGGGATGTCAAGGACTCTCTCTTGTGTGTGCATGTGTGTGTGTGTGTGTGTGTACAGTGTGTGTGTGTACTGTATGTGTGTCTATACTGTGTGTGTACATGCACATGTGTACATGGAGGTGCATGACTTGTTGATGAATGAAAAAAGAAAATAGAAAAAAAAAGACAAGATTTATTTACAGCATACATTCAGTGTTGGCAAGGACACACATAAAGGCAAATTTGGACATCTTCAGCAGAAAATCAGCATTTATTTTGCTGAAAGTTAAGAACAGTATATTTACATTAACAATCAAAACTGTCCACTGAATGAACATAATATTCACACTGACAATCACACTTGTCTGTTGAATGAAACATCAACTTAAATACATGTACAGTAAATGGAATTTTGCAAAATTTCATGCTTTTACAATAACAGAACCTTCCACACTAGCCACCCTACAAGGGCATGTTACTCAGGCATATTTCCCACACTTACAAACAACAGACCAACATGCTTCAAGAACTTTTCGGGATATTGAAGAAATGAGATGTCCATCGTCAAGAATAAATCCACTTTCTTCTAGATTTACTGGATCAGCTTCTGACCCAAGTCCTAGGTAACTTTCCAAAGTGTGCATGCCCAAGAGAACACTATTTGTAACAACAAAATGAAGAGTGATGTCACACAACTGTGACACAAATAATGAACTGACTACTGTGTACAGTACATAAAAATAACAACAAAATGGCACAAACACATTACAGTTATTGCTTCAACTACAATACAGCCCTGCCAAATGGCTTTTGTGTTTATAATACACACATTATTTTCACACTTTTTTCACCAACCTTCCAATATTCCTTCAATTTTGTTCTCAGCAGATCTATTACAGGTATCCCTCGTTTAGTGTCAACTTTAGCGATTTTTTTTTACACCCTTTCTCGCTTAACTTTGGTCAAAATTCGGCTTGGGGATACCTTGACTCAGTGGTATGGGGAAAAACTGGGGATTCTGTGCTCCAATTGCACATCTCTACTGTCACTTGTTTAAGTTTACTCTACCTGCACACCTGACAGTATGCTGTGAATTCTTTTGGAAAACTGACAGTGTGATAAAGCATCATAAAAGTTGTGAAGTTATGGGTACAATGAGCATCCCATTTACCTCACCGCCTCGACTGGCGCGTGCATGCGTGAGCAGTGGCCTTCCTGACTCGTGGACTTGCTCCCGTGCCGAAGTGGAGTTGTCATTTGCGATACAGTATATTGTTAGACAAAAAAAATATGATATAATTTACTAATACATATACATTGACTCAAGAGTGTGATTCATAACTTGCTGTGAGATCTGAATATCAGTAAATTAACATTGTTGCCCCACACACAGACACTTTCAAGTTGTTGTTTTTTCATAAAGGGTATACTGTATGTATTTGAATTTGAAAAGTTTTCATAGTGGCTTAATAATGTATTATTTAATGTACTATATGTGGAAAGTCAACACACCTTTCTCATGCCTCCATGTTCCAATTACATAAAATTAACATAGTATAAAAATTATAGTACTGTTACTGCCTGTTTGCTTCCTAGACCTCAACAATAGGAATGTATATTCACATTTACCCTCCGAAATCTACCATACAAACAATCACCTTATTATGAAATAAGAGTAAACAATTATGGTCAAGTTAATATCAGTAAATGATTTAATGGTTTATCTTCACTTTAGGGGCTTCAGTAGGTATGGTTAATTGACCTTCATTTCTTGTAAACAAACTCACGGGTAGACAACATGCCGAGTGATGATAGTGATGGTGTTACTGATGATAATTTTGACTTAAGAGTGAGGTAGTAATGGTGGTGGGGACTGGTTAGAGGTAGTCGTAGAATGCACAAGTATTTATGAGTATTTTTGAGGCATCCACGCTTATCCCTCTTTCAGCGATAATTTTGCTTAACGTTATGTTTTCAAGAACACAACCCCATTGTAAATGTGGGATGCCTGTAAATTACTTTTTGACATTACATCACTGAAAATGTAGCCACTTGATTATATTTAACATACATTTATATACTGTATACAATTTTCTTTGGGCAACAATAACACGTGCCATTTGCCTCACCCAATTCCAATTGAGTTTGCACTCCATATCCAATTGAAAATGAACACCCTGTTAATGGTGGCTGATTAAAATGATGTATCAATAATGTGTCATTGTCTAGTGAAGAAATATCCAGAATGGGTTAATCCCTCAATGTCTGAGGTCCTTACACATGCTATGATTTGTTTCTGTGGAAAATCTTTGAAAAAGTTGGCAGGTCTGTACTACAGAATATCTAAATTACACCATTGAAGAGAAACATGTTATCCGCTGAGTTTATGTCAAATGCTGAAACATAAGAAATACTGATTTAACAAGCATGAACTACTTAACAATGACAACAATATTGTGACTTGAAGTGATACAGAGTAATGTTATTCATAAGAAACATTAACACAAGGTTATATCATAGAAAGATCACAGAAAATACCAAGATACAATTTATACACAGTAAGATAATTCAGGAAACATTCAATGACAATCCATCGAGCTGACCACAAGTAATCTGGTGGGAATATTATGCTCTGTAACTATTACTCTGGAAATTGTGACAAGTTATGTGACAACAGTTATTTGTCAGCAGTATATAGATGCTCAAGTCATCTAACTGCCTTTATTCACCCGTGTGAATGGTGGAATATTAAAGGATAATTCACATCATCCCACACATGTACAATCACCCAAATAAACGATGTCACGATTTTCAAAAACTTTCAATCAGAAATTGTTATCTGGCAACTACAAGATTTGCTTTATTTTTGCTTTTATTTTTTCAAGGCGGAATGCAATTTTGTGAAATTAATTAATTAATGGTAAAGCAGTTTTTCATTACAATACTGTAAGAACCAATTATGAACAGTAGTTAAAATTTCAGTATATTTCAAGATGAAATACTATACTATAACATAGATTATTATCACTTGTGGTAATTTGCAACGTTAAATTATACATGTCAAAATGAAAAAGCTTACAGTATGAATTAAAATAATATAACTCGCCACATTTCTGTCATGTCTTTACTGAACATGTAAGCAAACATTTACCATATTCACCGCCTTGATGGACGATGGCGTGAGGCGGGAACCATTAATAAAATTCAGCTTTAGCGGCTATAAGCTTAAAAAAAACGTTTATTGTTACTGTATTTCCCCTAGTATTGATAAGAAAATTAATTAACATTTATACTTTGAAGGTACTGTACTTTAGCACCAAGAAATAAGATATAAAACATTAACTATTTTCACTTATTGAGGAAAAAAATAATAAGAGTATGGCTTAATTTCAAACTTCTATGAACAGTTATTCAATTACTAATTATTTTAGAGCAACAAACACCTTTAGTATTGTTCTAAAAATAAAACAACTTCAAAACAAGGAAGGAAACCATATGCAGAATGGGCTGACAGTCATGTTTTTTTTCCATGGACCTTCTTCATCTTTTAATCCCCATCAAGAAGCTTTCTACCTTAAAAAGTATGAGGGAATGTTAGCAAAAGTTTAGGCAGCACGAAATTTGACCCAGGAGTTTGCTAATATACCTGTATTATGTTACTACAGCGTGTCCAGCCCATTTGTCAAACACTTGCTTGGCTCCCACCATGTTGCCATATACCGCTGTTTGATAGAATCATACTGGAAACAGTGACATCAATTCCTGAGCCAATTGTACACATGCTCTCTTACCTCTCTCAGTCTATCGTTTAATCTATCTCAGTTCATCATTCAAACTTTCTCACCATTACCTGACTCACTCTATATCTTACTTTCACAAATACTTTTATTCTTTCTCAGCTTCACTAAATTTATATTACATTTCATTTACATCAGTCTGTAATTCATCAACCCCTAAAACTGTATCCCTGGTTTTATAATAAATATTTTTTTAAGGAAATTAATGTGAAAAAAAGTAAAGCTGATGAACTAATATTACCAGGGGAAGAGTTTGTGTTCAGAAAATACAGCTTTTTCTCAAGTACTAAAAGCACACTGGAAATGTTATAACTCTTGTGTCACTTGTAATGTACACTACAAGGCATTTGGTCAATGGGCCCCAACCTAACCTAAGCTAACCATTAAGACTGGGGCCCAGACCTAAACAGCCCCTAACCTAATGGACATACACCTAATAGTTAGGGTAGATTAGGATTTTGACAATGAGACTGAGGTCCATTAAATCTGTAATTCACAACAACTGTACCACCATTAATAAAAATATATATGCTTACCTGAAAGTACTATTACCTCAAGCCCAGATGATAATAAATTTGTTGAATCTTTACATTCCTTGCTTGACCATAACACATGTAAATCAAAGAACAAAAGTTTCTTTACTGCCTAAATAAACCTCAAGGGGCAAAGATGATAATAATTATATTATTTGTTCAAACTACTATATCCTGTACTTGTGAAACAACTTGTGCCAAACTGGTAATTTTCACAAGGACAAAGTGTATTCACATTGATCTTGTTTAGCACCATCAATGATATAACTACAAAATTAAATGAGCTGGACATAAAATTAACATTCTTCACCACACTATAAACTTTCATGCCTGTGTTTTACATTATTCTTATAAGAATACAGTTGCAGCAATATCTCTGTTAGCCGGTATCCCTCAATCCCGGAACTCTCCGACAGCCGGAATTGAAATTTTCTCGGAAAATCATTCTCAAAGCGGGAATTTTCCGGAAAATTCCGGCTTTGGGAACGATTTTCCGAGGGGCACATTTTCTGGAAAACTCCGAGGATGGGAGTTTTTTCCGGGTTTGAGAGATGAAAATCGGGCCCATTTTCTGGAAATTCCGAGAAAAATTTTCCATTACCCGGAAAATTTCGGTGACAAGTGATTTTTTTCCGGCTTTGAAAGTCGTCTCGTTACCCGCAAATCTCTCATTCCCGGAAGTGTTCCGCACCAATTATTCAGGCTAACGGAGATATCACTGTAGTACTTTCAAGTAAAAAAAATTCAGATATTTGTTTTTTGAGGGGAGTTGCCATTGTAGGTAATTAGTACCATCTGTACTGTAAATATAATAAGAACCCCTTAACATTTTCAATGCCTACTTTTCCAGAAGCAAAGATTAACCTTGTTAATGGTGAACTTACAGCACTACAGTACTTGCAGATTTATAAATTAAATAAAATATGGTGCAAAAAATACTACTGTACTCTTAATAAAGAGACCAAACCCAGATATTGACCCTTAAACTTAACCTAATGCTCTCAGGGGAAGGGGATGACACCCACCCCCACCCCACCTTCATGGGCCCACATGGAGGTGATGAACTCCCACTGGTCTTGTTCTGGGTTATATACCTCCACTGTGGACAAGTTAGACACACCATCATAACCACCAATAGCATATAAGCGACCCATGTTAGCCACAAGTGCTACCCGACTGCGTGTTACACTCATGGGGGCAACGAAAGACCATCTGAAAAGGACAAAAGTGTACTGTAAATTTTGTGATGTCTAGCAAACTAATCTACTAAATCAACGATCAACATTTGTAGACAGACAGGATGTATGCCCAATACTATACAGGAATACCCCAGTTATCGTAAGAGATGCGTTCCTAAAACCTACTGCGATTAATGAAACTGCAAATATTGTGTAGTATCCCCATAAGAATTTATGCGTTCCCAGCCGGCAACTTTCACCACATACTTTTCAATATACTATACTCCCCATAATCCAAGGCTATTAGAGGTCAGGGTCGTATGTACAGTCGTGTCACATCTTACGTGGGGGTTACGTTCCGAAGAGGGCGCGTGAAGCCAAAAACGCATGTAGTCAAAATTACCCTTGAAAATGCCTAAATCACCCATAAAGTACAGGACATGGTTATATGTACTTGTCAATAGTGCATCTGGTGACTTGGCTGGTTAGACCTATTTCAGCTTAGATGTGCACCACACACAGTATGTGCCCAAAAAATATATAAAATGAATGAATGAGTGAATGAGTGAGTGAGTGAGTGAGTGAGTGAGTGAGTGTGTGTGTGTGTGTGTGTATGGGTGTTTTTTAGCTGACATATCTAGTATACAGAATTTCCATGTTCCATCTCCGTGAAAGAGAATAATAACACACACAAGAGACAGATGGAGAACTTACCTACTAGTGATGGGATCATAAACTTCTACGGTTCTCAAAAAGGTAGAGCCATCATAACCACCACAGACATATAACTTTCCATCAAGCGTGGCGGCACCAAGACGACAGCGTTTACTTAACATGGGGGTAACAGGAGTCCACTGCCCAGTAGTTGGATCATATCGCTCCACCTAAGTCAAGAAATATGATGCTATAAATACGGTAGTATATGCAAATACATGTGGCACAAATATGAACACATTGCACTATTTCTGAGAGGTGAGATGTATTACAGTTTATTATGGGTTGACAACTACTTGCTAGAGTAAATACTAATGACGATACATTTTTCTTCATACTGTCTCCCCTCCAATGCAACACTTTTCTTGGTTTAATGTACAGTAGCAAGAGAATTCTACTATATTAAAATGTATTCAATCAAAATCTACCTACTACATCAAAGCACGTAAACAAGAATCCCAAGTTGGGCAAACATCTAAATGGTGGACTTTAATAACATGCAACATATTACTGAATTCTTCACTCTTGGGCACTGTTTACCACAGAACTGTTTTGTAAGTTGTTTATCAAACCCCTGGTCGTCACATATGTCCCAGTATTGATTACAAAAAGGCACTGGTACCTAGCCTAAGATTAGTCAACTCATCATAGGCAGTTTCCTGGAGTCCATACTGTGAGGCCTACATGTACACAAAGTAGTGAATCCATAAACTTGGAAAACTATGCATGCAGGAGTACTGTATACACTTTTCCTCATTCATTTAAGGCAATTCATGATACTTTTGAAAAGTGGGATCAACAACATAAGAAATTATTGAAAAATTTAACAAGCACTTAAATAATTCAAGATTTCAAAAACAACAATTTCTTTGGGTAGCCAAATACCACCAATATATTTCATTCCAATGCCCAATGTTTAATTCCTGGTGACTTGGACAGCAGACACTCATTATTGTTGAGCCCTAGACTGTACCATCCTCGACCTCTGTTACAGGTCATCATCATCATTTTATAGCCATTTTCCACACTTGTGTGGGTTATCTGTGGTTACCTGATGGCAGCTCTCCATGCTGTATGGTTTCTTACAGTCTGTCTTGTCAAGTTCCTAACTCTTAATGTTATTCCTTACAATTTCTCTCCACTTCATTCTTGGCCTACCCTTGGCACTCCTCTCCTCTACATATAGGCTCATGCACCTCTTGACCCAATTGGTTTTAGCCATTCTCTTCACATGTCCAAACCATCTCAACCTGCCTCTTTGTAAAACTTCACCAATACTCTTAATACCCAGTCGCCTTCTTAGCTCTGAACAGGGCCTCCTGTCTTTCAGTGTCACATTACACATCCACCTCACCATTTTCATTTCAGCTTATGTCTACTTATGTCATCAACATACATTCTTCCTTTTACTCAGAGGGAGGGTCCTACAGCCATCAATAAAGGCAATAACTCCCTAATCTTCCTTCAGCCACTTTTGACTCATGCAAGTGAGCAGGCTTCAGTAACCCCATCAGCACTGATCATGTCACCCAGGTAACAGAACTCATTGACACAGTCCAGGAACATATCCCAATGTTCAGTTTCTCCAGCCTTGCTGTGGACACATAGCTAGTTTCACATACAGAGCACTTAAAAGTCAACACCATCCTGCAGTCTGCCACATCACTAATCAATACTTTTGTTTTTGCCACATTCACTCTTAGGTCCTTTGCCTCTTTTCCATTCTCCCACTTCTTAAATTTCTCCACTGCCTTTTCAATAACTATCTGCTATCAGCACTTATTCAACAACATACAACAACTCCCTGGGCAGGCCAATCCTTAAGTCCTGTGACATTGCTCACTTTCCTCACCATTTACTCACAGGTTTTTAGGCCATCATATGATGCCATAATCATTTCTTTATTACTTATTTTTGTTAATTGGGACGGAACCTCGACCCAAAGTGGGCCATATAATCTCCTATCTTAGTATCTTATTGTCCATGGAGACACACTTATATGAGTAGACTATATACTGTACTGTATTCTTATAGAATCCTTTGAACATCAAATATTCAATAGAATTCCAACATGGTCACCAGTTTTGTACACTAGGGTTCCAATGAAGTTATTGTCCTTCTACAAAAACTAATGCCAAAGTATACACTAAAGCTTTCTGCTGAAGATGTAGAGAATTTCAGAAATGTGTTGACTTCTATAAAGATTTACTTCCAGAACCTCAGGTATTCTCTGCTGAATTTTCTGTATGGAAAGAATAATGAAGACTTGTTCCTGAGAAGTCACTGTCTTTAACTGCCACAGACACCTACTTAGAAAGTAATGGAGATTTGTTCCCAAACCTTAAAGTGCTGATTTTTATTCTTGTGACTTTACCAGTTACAGCAGCATCAGTAGAATGCTCTTTTCACCTTCAAAGAGGCTAAAAACTTATTTGAGAAATTCATGTGAAAAGGACAGGTTAACTGTACTGACCCTTATGTCAGTCCATAAGGAAGTTGAAATTGACCTCACAGAGTTATTTCACATTTTGTAATATATCGCCCAAGACAGGACAAATTTGTCCTCTAATTGGCCGGCAGTAAGAGGAAACTGACCATGAAAATATTGTACAGTAATTGATGTTAGTTGCATCATGAATAATTTCATCATGTTTGCATAACAGAATATTTAATTGTCAGTTTTATTTGTTGCTGCGCGCTGTGTACACTGCCTCTTTTAGTTTATGGTTTTGAAAATGTAGTACAGGATTTTATAGGATTTATAATGTTTCTGTTTAAAATTTACTGGTTATTTCTGCAAAAAATTATTCAACTTTAATGCTACAAAGAAAATGTACATGCAGTAATTACATGATTATTTGTGTTTATGTCTTGAAGAGTAAATTTCTCGAGCCGGTCCTCTGACACCCACCCCCCCCCGAATATGACCTCCAGATATGACCTTGGCTGGGCTATTCTAAAAACCTCTCTCCTCTCCTCTTGCACTTGTACTATTCAACATTTATTCTTCTATTAACAAACAAATCATAATAATGTTAATAAAACCAAGATAATTACAGTGATCTAAGTAATAATACTCACTGAATCAAATATAGAGAGGCCATCGTGACCCCCAATAGCATAAACATGGCCATCAAAAGCAACCACTCCAGCTGCACTCCGGTGTTTGGTCATGGACGTAACCATCACCCACTTGTTTGTTTCACTGTTGTAGCACTCCACTGTGTTGAGAGAGGCAACACCATCGTATCCACCACATACATAGAGGTGGTCGTTTAGAACAGCCGCACCAACAGCACTGTAAACCAAGTAGTTTTTATACAGCAACACTCAACTCAATTTACACTTGCAAATCTTCAATATTTTTCACATTAATTAATATCTGGTAAACTCAGTACATTATTGTAACAGTTTCAGATCATTCTGAACTCTAATTTTACAGCTGGAAAAATCAAATAACAGTGAATTTCAATAAAAAACAAGCATGCACTAGGAACTTAAAAGAGTCTTAGCTACTGAAAGCCATTACTGATCTAAATTCAAAGACAGGGTAGATATTACACCTTTAGCAGTACAGGTGCTCCTCTACTTACGAACGAGTTACGTTCCTGAGGCTTGTTTGTAAGTCCAACTTTACTCTTGTAGATACCAAACATATTGTAAAAAATGAAAAGATTATGGATATTTAGTACAGCTATACCCTTTAATACAGCCTTAAAACCTGGCTCACTCTTCTCCTCTTCGGTAATGTTTGTTCTATCTGGAATTTTCAAAATAATCCAGTCTCATCCACATTAAACACCTGTTCTAGCAGGTAACCCCCCTCAGTGATGATGTTTGTATCTCTGAAAGTGTGTAAGTTGAACGTTCTTAAGTAGAGGAGCACCTGTATAAAAATTCAATATCTTTAACAATACGGTACCTTTGTCTTGTTCACTGATACATAAATCCAGCAGCATTTTAAAGAACTTTTGCAACTTTGTTATCAGTGTTTCATTTTTTGTACACAATGAGTCGGGGAGGGGGGGGGGTAATTAATTTATGGCTTCAATGATAACACCTGCAGGGTTCTTGACTGTGTGCACACCTAATAGTTTACATAGGCACATGACATAAATTACTTTTAACACCTCAATCCTACAGGCAGGCAGCCATCTCCTCTGGTGATGGTTCTCTAACTGCTCTAGTACTATACAACAGTCTCCATCCAGGCACAATACACCTATTGTACTCTATTAGAATCTACATCCTTCTCACATGTGCATATCTCTACCACACACCTTCTGTCAGTCTAAACAGTTCACTATTTCTTACCCATTCCTGTTGGCTCTAACCCCACAGTACTATACAACAGTCTCCATCCAGTATTCACCCCTGGTACACTGCCCCAATACACCTATTGTACTCTATTGAATCTCCTACATCCTTCTCACATGTCATACTACCTCCCCAGCAAATATCTCTTCCTCCATTCCATAATGTACACCTTCTGTCAGTCTAAACACACCATTCACTTCACTATTTCTTACCCATTCCCTTTTGGTAACTCCACAATGTCCTGATCATCCTATTTCTAGTGGTTTATCCTCACAATGAACCTTAGGCTAAACCTTGGATAAATACCACCTCTGCCTCCCTGCTTCCTCAGCACCAGTGGAATGTCTGCTGAGAATCGTTAGGAACCGACCTAAGAGATGACGACTGACAAATGGCGTCTTTGTAAATCTTATGATGATTCATTGCAATGCATATCAGTGATTTGTGATTGTAAATTATTTACATTTTATAGATTTAATCCATAACTGATTTGCTGAAATATTGAATAAATTAAATGAATGAATGAAATGAATAAGATAAAACAATAAATAAAATAAAACTAGAAAGATAAGTTGTTACTATAAATAACCTTTATCATTCTATAGGGAGAGTCAACACTTACCCCAGGAACAATCAGCTTTAAATAAAGTCAGCTTATCTTGCTGCAACTCATTGTCTTCCCGTCAACATATAAAGTACAGCCTGATCTCATTTTACACGGGTCTTGTAAGCGCAGTTATCGCTTACACAATTGGTTGAAAGTGACCATAGTTATAGCTTACGGTACACGTAAAGCGATGGGTAGCGGTATAGCATTAATGTTGTGATCTTTTGCTTATTTAGGTTAATCTGGGAATTAATGTTAGTTTTAGGGGACAAATTAATGATTTTACAATAATGTTTTATTAACCTGACACCAAATGAACCTAAATAATGTGGGAATTATGGTGAAATAGCACGCTGTTGTTGTAAAGGGATCCCGGGGTGACGAACGGTGGTGAGTTGTCCTCCCTCCTTCCCTACCCCTCACCGACTACGCACCCAAACGTAGTGTCGTATCTTAATATAATTCATATTTTATTCCTATGATTCTATTTTTCTCATCCTCACAATCACATATACTCTAACAGTTACTACAGTAATCATAAGAGCAGTTACCTTCGCTTGCAGTTCATCGGGCAGACTTTACTCCAACACTTGCTGGATGGATCAAAAACTTCTACTGTTGCTAATCTGTCTAAGCCATTGTAACCACCGATGGCATAGAGTTTTTTCTTCATCACCACGACCCCGACCCGTGACCGAAGCATGGACATACTTTCTGCCATTTGCCACCTACCAACAATGGGATCGTATACCTCGACAGTGCTTAATGAATCTCCTGCAATAAAAAGAAAAATATTAATAATAAATTTTGTTTACCCTTTCAGCATTAGGTAATAATGAACTCACTACTGTACCAGCAAAAGTTACCCCAACCTTATAGTCCAATATTTATTTGATCATGTATTATCTGACCTGCCATGGATCCAATAATACACAAGTCAACAACTCCTACATCTTAAAGAATAATTCTAATATGTTTCTCTCTCTTACTAGCCATTTCCCATGGCCATTTCTGACTTACTGGAAACGTTCAGTTATGGTGTTCCAGCAAAAAAAAATAAATAAATAAAAAAAAATACTTACAAAACTAAAACAGAACATTCCATACTATTCTTAGCATACATATTACATGTCTTACTACACCTTCACACAGCTAAAGGAGCCATAAGTCTGGACATCAGTGATAAAAAAATTTTGATTACTGACTTTTATAATATCTTGTTGAACAAGACAATCAGAGGTGGCACACTGTACCTCACACCAGCTGTGCTCATGCCACTGGGAGAGAGAAACCACACACCTGTGACACTAGTTCACTGTTCAATCACATTTCTATTTCATGAACCAATGAAGGTCCTGTAAATATTTCCCATACCAAATTTGAAGAGGTTTTATTCAGCAGATTCCGAGAAATAAGAATCTTAAATTTTTGTAAATTTTTTGGTCACTGTGACCTTGACCTATTAATGTTAAATTTTTATATGCCACCCCAACTGTCTTCAGTTAAATCCTATAGCAAGTCAATTTGATTTGTCATATTGTACATGTAAACATGTTTTTGGATATCCATGTCCTTTTATTGATAAAAGACCATCTTTGATGTCATTTTCTACAGAAATGTGATGCCACAGATAAAAACATCAGATACACTTGTTGTGCCTTTATTGGGTCATCTAATGCATCAAGTCCCATCCCTACAAAGCTTTGTACTAGTTACCATAAAAAAATTATTTTTAAGCTTCCAATGACCACGACCTTGACCTCCCAAAAAACTTCAGTACAGGTATACTTGCTGTACAGTACAGTATACCCAACATGGCTTAACCACGGCGTTTGGTTCACATATGGCCGAGATACACTGACCTGATCCTGAATACAGTACTGTCATCAAAAAGATTATCCTTAATCCCATAGTTCAATGTCTTTCTCCCTTGCCTCTGTGATTTTGTCTTTTATTTCTCCTATGTGAGTCGTTTACTTCATTTACCAGTGTGTCCATTACACTTCCGGAATATAATCTACATACTATCAACTCGCCTCACGATGTAAGTGTTATATATATTTATTACTGTAATATTTACTTTATTATTACTGTTTGTAACATTTAAAAACCATATTTATTTGCACAGTAATTACAAATATAATATTTTATGTGGCAGCTGAGTATGCATATTGGTTGGTATAATGAGAACAATCTTCGGAACAATCCGAATAAAGTGAAAACACTGAACAGAAAATGAACACAAAAAATCGGAAAATTTCAAATAATGTCAAAATGTACAGTACAGTATACATTACAGCACAGTATTTTACAGTTTTACAGTAGAGTAAGTCCTCAATATATGCGAGTTCAGCATGTGCGAATTCATTCACATGCAAGGACCCTGTTCCTACCATGAATTCACTTAATACGAGCAAAATTCATCCTTTTGTGACTCCATGATTCGGAATACAGTTACTGTATTAAGAATGCAGACAAAATGTCTCACTCCCCGATATGGATTCCAACCCTGATGACTGTGCAGGTGTCACTTCAACACCATCACCCACTATGTTAACCCTCTACCACCTCCTCCATCATCTCATCCACCCAAGCAGACGTACAGTTGCCTCGAAGAGCTTCTTATTTACCTCCTGGGATGATGTTTACTGTTAGGTGGCAGCATCACAATACTTATGAATGAATCCGTAGTAGTCTTATAATGATTGTGGAAAAGATTCCTAGATGTAATTTATCTTGATATAAATAATGTTAGAATATATACTCAATAGATGTTTCTAATATGGAAGAATACCAATAGGATTGATAAGAATTTAATAATAGAACATATATGAGGAAATTTGTGTAATTCATTATCATACACCAAGAAGCTTCTTCACACAGGGACACTGGCTGCTAGGAAAATCACACAATGGTTTCAAGTAAACCTTCAGAATTCATAATACTGTATATATAGATTGATTCATGCCTCATATTCATTATGAACATATATGAGGAAATTTGTGTAATTCATTATCATACACCAAGAAGCTTCTTCACACAGGGACACTGGCTGCTAGGAAAATCACACAATGGTTTCAAGTAAACCTTCAGAATTCATAATACTGTATATATAGATTGATTCATGCCTCATATTCATTATGATAATACAACGCAACGTAACAGCGAGAGGAATAATGTAGATATATGAACACACTGTATAAGCGTATATGGGTCAGAGGAAGCTTATCAGAGCTACGAGTTCAGTTGGGTCAGTCACCCCACACCCCCTTCACTCCAACCTCATTAAATAACTTGCCTGTTGGATATTTCGTAAGTGATAGGCTTAGCAGGAATTAAATCACCTGCTCCTAACGATCTGAAGTGTTGAATAATTATTACTATGAACGTTTATGAATCTACTGCCTGTGTAATCTGGTAATTGGCCCCTCACCCAGCTCAAATATTTGGAAACTCTCCTACCCATATTACTGGGTGCGTCCCTGGTGTGTATGTAATGACAATATAGTAACATCTCCATTAGCCTGAATCCTTCTTAACCGAAACTCTCCAATACTGTAGCTGGAATTAAAATTTTCTCAGAAAATCGCTCCCAAAGCCAGAATTTTCTGGAAAATTACAGATATAGAGGATTTTATCTCTGGGTTTCAAATGAATATAAGGCGCCAGAGCTGGTCCAGCTCGCGGAGCTGCCGAGGCCAGTGAAGCTTCCGTTTCTTGGGAATTTGTTGGATTCAATTCATCAGATGATGATGTTTGAGGTGATGCATAGCTGCTATGTAGTTGCTGCTGTTAAGTTTAACTTGTGATATGTGAATAAGTGTCTGAATTTTAATAGCTGAGTATTAAGTGAATTAATGTGTTGCCAAGTAAAATCTCGTGAACAGACAATAATTACTAGTATGTTTTTCAGTGAAAGAATATTAAACTTAACATAAAATAATCTTATTTTCTATTTACAGCAGTACAAGAATTTTGCTTCCCTCGCGCTGCCAGCAGCCATGGGCGCCCGCCACTCGTCCCCGCCTGGCACCACCACCTAACTCCCACCCATCCAGCGCAGCATTGCACTGCCTGTCTTGCTGTTTGTGTACTGTGTTGGTGGAAGGGTAGAAGTTGTATACGTGATGATGAACTACTTTTATTAATATCTATGTATTTCTGTATTGTTTATGATGGTCAGTGTTTATTAAAGTAGTTTTGATTAAGCTTATGTGTAACTTTTGACCTCCAGAACCAAACTAATTACTGTACTGTATTTCCATTTAATCAAACTATTATTCGTGATTTAATAATACAGGTACATGATGTCTTCTGGTACCTAACCCAAGAATTATCACGATTCCACTGTACTATTGCTATTTCATTTTCATATCTTATTTCTGCCATATACGATTTTTTTTAGGTTTTCTATACTGTATCATTTCACTGTTCTTGTTGTGTGTAGTGTGTGGGGGGCCGCTGTGCAGTGACAACAATAATAATCTATCCAAGAGTAATCAGGCATCAATATAAGTAAGTATTAATGAAACTTCTACTTCTGCCTCCACCTGAATCTCTCAGTTTATCTTTCAATATGAGCGTACTAGTGAGAAGGCTTAGTATGCAGTGTGCTGTATCTACACTGTCCCTAACAAGCAACCCTACCTATGGGACCCACTTTCAGTCGTGAGTATTGTTACCATTTTATGTCACATTGTACAGTAGTGGAAATCTTGTCTAAGTAGGTAGTCACGTCATCCTGTAATCCGAGTACAGTACCTCTATTGTCACTGGTTGCTATTAACTTCTCAACCCCACTATTACCCATAACTTGTGATGTTAAAGTTTGTAAGATATAAATTATGTTTTACTATCTTAATCAATCAATCTAAGTACCGATCTTATATCTGAGGGTTGGCGACCACAGTCCTTCACTTTAAATGTTTTCTGGCTGTTTTTACCAATCCTCTAAGGTTTTGTATCCCTCTGGGGACCAAGTTTTTACTTTCATTCATCCATCCCAGTCTCTACCTTCCCCTGGCCCTCCTACCCTCAACTTTGCCTGCTTACTGCTTAAGATATAATCAGGGCTTCACACAGATTCAGTACAAAACTCTCCAAATTGTACATTGATAACTTTTCTTCTTATGTAGAATAATGTTACAATGGTTTGGTCAACATGGCTCTAGATTCATAAAAGAGATGACTGAGGTAGACCTAGCAAACTTCCTAGGTATGGAGGAGACTCTTTTCACACGATTCATGCTGTAATTTCCGAGAGTCCAGAAGTCGAGTGGGTACAGTGCTCACCCCCTGCGTTGAGGATTACTGGTTTGTATACTGTATGCAGCACCCTTAGACCACCTAGTTGTGAATGGACACCCAAATTTACAGTTGGGAAAGTGAATGCAACTGAATGGACAGCTGACCACAGTTCCTCCATGTATATTTAGTGTCCTTTATCCACACTGTCACCTAATGGGCTGCCTGGCTTATGGGACATTTTTCCATTTCTCCATACACTAATGTTCATGTAATTCCGAATGTAAGCTACCATAATTATTATCACAAGCAAGCACAGCCACCAGTCAATCAGTGTGTGCAAGCCTTACTGTATATACTCAGGTATTGTTAGAGTTTTGATGATAAATTTGTGATGCAAAAGTAGGGGCCAAATTACATGCACTTCCGCGGGTCATTTACAGCTAACAATAGCTACCCCAGATATGCTCGTTGTAGGCTAACTTTGCCAAGTTGTGAGGTGTTATGGTTGTTTGTCAAATCGTAATTTTGGGTAGACATAAGTACAGTAGAACGACGATTTTAGGCGATTCAATTTAAGATTATTGATTTAGAGCGACACCCACAATTAAGGTCAATGTTTTATTTAAAGCAAATCTTTCCTATTTTGCGTGAATCAATCTGGCGAATCACATTTAAAATTTTGTGCCTAATGTTTCTCTGGGCACGCTACACTGCCCTAAGGGCAAAGCTGTACTGTACATGTACTCAAAATAATGTACTAAATGATTACTAAAATTTTTGTTTCGTGCAAACTATAGCATGATTATAATCAAATTGATCACTATCTTATAAGAATTCCAGCAATGTAAATTATGTTCTCCCCGGTCACTTCTGTGACATTTTATAAACAAAAAACATAAACTCAAGCTTAAGGACATAAATAAACAAATAAATACTTTACTAAACCTTCGGCGCCAACTGTCAAACATGTCCCTGTCACTTCGTTTCCCTCCCTCTCCCCCCCCCATCTTCCCAGCCAGTAAACAGACCATTTCCTATTCCTTAACATTATCTGTGTTGATTTATGAGTGTTTGTTTTAACATAATACTACAAAAAACAATGTTTTGTTTATTCTAGAGATGGGCTGAGGTGCATCTGGGTAGACTCTCAGTCTTTTTAGTATTTTGTGTTTCTCTCAAGTACCAAACTACAGTGATCCCTCAGTTAACATACCTTCCATAAGATTCTTCACTTCGGTTGACGAGCAATCCCTCGATTAACGAATTCCTTACGAGCGCCCCTCAACATGTTTTCGCCTGCTAACAAGCTGTAGTATGAGTCCGCCAATACAGTAATCGGTTCTAGGACTTAAATTCCTTACCATTTTAGTAAATATCAAGAAGGTTGTACTATGCAATCATTTTAAAAGTTTTATATTAATTTTTTTAGTCATTTTAACAATTATTGAACATAACTGAAGTACAGTGGTCCCTCGGTTAACGAGCACAATTCGTTCCAGAAGGTTGCTCGTTAACCGAAAAACTCGTTAACCGAAACCATTGTTTCAATGGGTTTTTGGGTAATTGGTTCCAGCTCACCGAAAATTGCCTAAAATCAACAAAAAAGGTAGAAAAGTACACTTACTTTGAGGTGGGTATGTAGAAGGCTCCTGGATGATGATGATGATGATGGGAATTAGAATGGGGGTGGAGGAGAAGAGAAGGCATTGGGGTGGAAGAGAAGTCACCCCATGGTGCCATTTCACCAATAAAATTTTACTTCTCTTGGTGTAATTCAAGATTATTTTCTTTAAATCAACACTGCACTGCGTTATATATTGTCAATATGTAAAATAAATTTCAAATTGATCAATAATTTGCTTGGAAACAGAAAAAAGCGTTTAGTTGAAGAGAGTCTGAAGCAAGATGTTACCTCCACTGAAAAGATACAGAGACTGACTCCTGTATGGTGTGTTGAGAGGCTGGATGGAGTGCAAAAAACTAGCTACCTATACTTCAATTATCTTCAATAATTGTTAAAATGACTAAAAAATTTAATATAAAACTTTTAAAATTATTGAATAGTACAAACTTCTTGATATTTACTAAAATAGTAAGGAATTTAAGCCCTAGAACCAATTACTGTATTGGCGGACTAATACTACAGCTGGTGAACCGCCAAGTGCAAGCGAAAACATGTTGAGGTCGGCTCGTTAAACTCATTAATCAAGGGATTGCTCGTTAACCGAAGTTAAGAATCTTATGGAAGGTAAATCGTTAACAGAAATCTCGTTAACCGAGGCGCTCGTTAACCGAGGGATCACTGTACTGGAAACTAGTTTTATGCGCGCCAAACAGCTACTCAACACACCAAGCTTGGCGTCAGTTTGTTTACAGGTTCAGAGGAAGGAACATCTTGTTTGAGACTCTTCAACATTAACGCTTTTTTTCTGTTTCCAGTCAAATTAGCCGCCTCCCTTGTGTAGTGAAGCGATTGACAAATTTCGTCGTCCGGCAGTAAAAAGTCATATTTTTTTTTATAAGTACAGTATTATTATATTTATTCCTCACATTTGCTAGTGCATATACTGTATGTAATAGATATCTCAGCTAGTCGGAACAATTGATGCAGAGCACTTCCGGGAATGAGAGATTTCCGGGTAACGAGACGACTCTCTCAAAGCAGGAAAAAATCCCTCTCCCAGGAATTTTCCGGGTACCGGAAAAATTTTCTTTAAATTTCCAGAAAATGCGCCTGAATTTCATCTCTCAAACCCGGAAAAAAACTCCCCCATTCCCGAAAGTTGTCCGGATACTGGGAAATTTTTCTCGAAATTTTCCAGAAAATGTGACCCTAGGAAAATCGTTCCCTAGAGAAGAATCACATTTAGAAATATTTTTATTTATTTATTTATCTTTGTTTTAAGAAATATACTTCAAGCAAAGTATCTATATGGAGGTGCATACTGAATAATAAATTGGATTTGATGCAAGTTTCTTTCTTTCTTTTCTTGTTTTATATCAAACCTTTTCTTACTAGTGTACTGTATATTGTGGGGTCAAGGTCAGCAGGTCAAGGCTTCACTACTCCTCAGTCCAGGAGAGAGTAGCTAGGTCACTCATAGTCTCACCTACTTGTGTTCAGTTACCAAAAATATAAGACAGCAAAAAATTAATATTCACAACACATTATACAGTACAGTATTTTCTCGATTTAACCAACTAATTCGAGCCGCCACTTACCGTTAGATCAAAATTTCCGCTAAATCGAACTTTCCGTTATTTTCGCTCGATTTTGCGAACTAGTTCACTAAATCGAGAGTGATTCTGTTAAATTCTGCCGCTTGGCACGTGGGGTTTGTTTACATCTGCTCAGTCTGTGTCCTGCCACCACTGTGTGTGTTGTTCACTGCTACCTCTCAGTCAACTAACTACTGTACTGTGTTTAGACATCATGCTGAAAGTCTCTCACAGAGGAAGTGGTGTGGGGGAGAAAGTCAAAAGAGTGCAGCTATCAATTGGAAAAAAGTTTGGAATAATAGAAATATTTAAAACAATCACTCAACCCCCAAGTTTAAGGTAAGCCATGAATAATGTTTCTATGTACATATCATGTGTCTGAGGTGTCTCCGTAGGTGGGAGTGTATTAACGGAATTAATCTCAATTTTGCAACTAGTTCACTCAATCGAGTGAAAAAAAACAAAAAATTCCTTCCACTAAATCGAGAGTTTGTTATATCGGATTTCATTAAATCGATAGTATACTGTAGTAGTGAAATTCCGATTCGTTTCAGGGGTTCAGCAGAAATTAAAAAATAAAAATAAATAATGAGAAAGGTCCTAAAATATCTATATAGGTTCTGAAAGAATCAATTTGCAAGCATTTGAGGTGTTAAAGCAATAAACAGCAGGAAAGAAGATAAAAATATATTCTCTGAACAAAGGAGTATACAACATGCGGAAAAACTTGACCCAGTTCACTACAGGTTTTCTACCTCTAAGGACATCTTTACAAACTACCTTGATGAAAAACATTGGTACAGAGGTGCGTAGAAGTACAAAAATATCCATAAAGCATTTTGAATACAATATGTAACACCCACCATAAAATAAGAGACATCTACTACACATAGTTATCAAAAATACCATATCTTTAATTGAAGGGTGAGAGAAATTAAATAAGGTGATTGGGAAGGGAGTTATGTAAGACAACACAGTGAGGAATATTCAATAACAAAATTAGTTAGCAACCAAGCAAATTACCACTTCAGGTTCTACCAGGTGTTCAGAAGTGAAGCCAAAAGCATGAGGGTGTGTCAGAACCTAATGTTTAGCGATCCTACACTAATAACAATGTCTATGTTAAGTCTGCCAACTGAAACTGAAGTTGATTATAGAGATGCGGAATAATTTGGTTTCCCGATAAATCGGTCTTGCCCAGGTTTCACACCTTGAAGTTTCACGTCCATTCAACAGAATTCTTGGTCTTACTTCATGCAGGCACCACCCATGAATCTCTTCAATCTGTTTTATTAAAATCATATTCAATCTCTTGTCTTATCTTAGAGAAGTTACTTTTTCTTATCAACTGTATATGTCATCAGCAAACCAAGATTCTCACCTGATTTTGTAAGGCCGCCAACAGCATATATAAGTCCTACGATGTCGTTGCAGCACCGCGGTCTTGTGCGGAAGCTCTGTAGGAGAGGTCGTCGCTCTGGCATGAGGTGATAGTCTTTGGCTTCATCCAGGAGATCTCTGCAGTATAGATACAAAATCTGTCACCATTTTATCTGCCAACCTGAACACTATACAGTTTTCAACTTGAAGCAAATAAATCACAAAATATTTACGTCAGATATGAAATAATCGTCACTGACCTGCACTCGTGAGACGATCTGATCAAGTTTTCGGTGGCAACACAGTCCGTCAGGAACTGGGGGGTTAGTAGTGGCATGCGCACTTTAGTCAACAGCTCTGGCAAGTTATGACCCCGCTGGTCTAGGTCTCGTTTTGTCCATGCCATGATGGCTTCAAATACCTGTTGATGATGCAATTACTAGAATATCATATACATACAGCAAATAAAAATTCTGCCATCTATTATTGTGATGAGGGAAGTGTATAGTATATGGGAGAAGAGGAAGGTGTGTCACAACCATAAGAGAGATCATCAACTAGTGTAAGTGGATCTTCAAACTAAAGGCTAAAAAAAGTCTCATTGACTTAATCTCACAATGTTAAGATAATATCACTGTGCTAAAATTACTCTAAACTTTCAAACTGTTAAAAAATAATGACTTACATTTTCTTCACTTTGCACATTAAGTTCATCCCGGGAGATTATTTCTCTTACGTCTGAGAAACAGAGACTCAGGAATTCCTCAGACACAGAGACTTCAACAAAATGTTTCTGAAGATAACGATTACTGGCTTCTACGAGTGACCAACAAGCCAAGGTATCTGCAAACGTTCTGATGCCCAAAACGTTGTGTGGATGTAACCTGTAGATAATTTCAAATTCATTAGTAACAACAAAACCAATGATTAATACAGCATACACCAGTACAACCTTGAAATAAAATACAGAAGGGTCTCAGAGTGCATGTACCCATAATACATGACCCCGCTTATATGCGTCTGAGTCTGACCCCCTGAACCGTCCTTACACTTGGCTCTCACTCTTGTGCAACCCAAGCCAACCCACCAGCATCATCTGAGGGATCAACGACCTCCAGGGATGATGAAGAAGATCCTACATCCACCAAACCACCTTCTAACATCACCACCATTATCATCGTCATTTCATCAGCATCATTTTCATCGATGAGTACAGTACATTACTATGTTTTTACATATATTTTATTAACAGTATTTAACATGTACAATATTATTCATAAAAGGTGTGTATCCGGGGGAACCCCATTTTTCCCATGAGGACTTAAGTTTAACATTAGCGGATTTGACATTGGCGGTGTTTTTGAGGAACCTAACCCCCGAGACGTTAACCGTTAACTGTATAACAAAATCTGAAGACATTCATTCATTATAATTACACTAACATTTTAATAAAGCCCTTCACAGAAAACATCCACTCTTCACAGGTTTGCGATTCGCGAATTCAACTATTCGCAGATGGTGGCTAGCTTATGAACCTCTGCCACAGCACAACGAGTCACCCCCCACACGCCCACAGCATCTCTTGACCCTCCTCTTCCCTTGTTCGCACTCAACCATTGCTTGTGATGCAGCATCTCTCGTGTTGTACTGAAAACTTTAATGTTTCTGTGGGAAAATGGCCCCTAAAAGACTGCCTAGTGTCAGTGCTAGTGGAGTGAAATGTTTAAAGACCTTAAAGCCAAGAGGAAACAAGTACCAATCACAATGGTTTCAAGAAAGAACCAACCTCATGCCCAGCTGATCCATTTTCCTCACCTGCTGCCACATTTCCACCACCCACCTTCCCGCCACGTGCCACCCGCCTTCCCACCACCCACCTCCCCGCTACTCGCCACCCCACCATCCACCACACCACCAGCCACATCCCTATACAGTCACCCCATGGCAATGTTACCCTGATCAAGCCAATGCTACTCTACCCAGGGGTGTAATTGTACATAAGGAATACAAATGTCTATTCAATAAGCCACGTGTTTTAACAAGTGAACGATGTCTTATCCCTGTAACACAACTATCTATTTCCTCACCTGTGTTTGAGGAAGTCAGCACACGCTTCTCGTACTTTAGAGAGCTGAAGGAATGATGCTCCTACCAATAAACTTTGTGCATTAGAACCATCAATTTTGACTTTTCCAGAATATGCAAAGTTGATCAGAGATTCAAGGGAACTGTAATATAAACAAATTTCATGAGTAAAGATGTACATTTGTCATACTAATAACCACAACTATCTAGCTATGTTATTAGGTACAATGTCATTTATTTGATACATGAGGAGCTCCTGCCAAGAGCCATATGCCGTTGATACGTGTTATGTATTGCATTGTATTCCCCAACCTCTCCTCCGTTCCCTGGGTCAGTCTGAGAGCTAATTGGGAGCCTGTACTTGTGGGTGATAATCCTCTGAAAAGGCTATTGTATGTCACACATTCCTCTCTGAGCACTTTCCTCCATTTTCTATTTTGGCACTCAACAGATTATGGCCCAGAGCTCCTCTTATGTCATGTATGCAGAAAAAGTATTTCCAATCTATAGACAAAGTTAAGTTATATAGGTATCAAATACAGTAATATGTTCAGACTTTTTTAAGCTAAAAGAATAAATGGTTGAGTCCAGAACAGTCAACTGGTAGACAGTAACATCAAGTCTACAATATAAAATCTCAGAGAACACTTATACATATTAGCAGCTTGAATTAATTTAATTATTGTTATACCTCCCATTTTGTGTTAGTGTGAATTAAAATATTTACCTTGGTTCTATTCCTTGCATTGTTATTTCCTTTTGTTTACTCTCGGCCATGTCATGGGTAAACATGGCATTGAAGTAAGGTATGACTGCTGCCAATACAATTCGATGTGCAGAAAAGCACTGATCTTCCACCTGGAAATATTCATACATTGTACTTTCATAATAGTCAGCATTAAACTATAAATGGTAAAATAGAAAGTATGAACTCCAAGAGAAACAGAAAAGATGGAAAAACAGGGAGTGTATGCAAATGGCAACTGTGTTAGAACTTTCATTTGACTTTTATTTATGGTTTGGGCAATACAGCATTTTTTGTTGTAACTTATTTATTGGTATTATTTTTATTTATTCCTCACTTACTGGTACTGTATATATTAATAAAACTATGGCTACGGGGGCAGAATACACACCAAAGGTTTTCCTAAATACTCCCTGCTAAAATGGGCTTTTTCCCCCTAAGCTAAGCAAGTAAAGTTGAAAGCGCGTATATTAAACAAGCGTTCAATGCAACACGACTATTATAAATGAAAAAATAAAATAAATTTAAATAAATAACGAAGTGATAATCGTACTGTAGTAACATTCTGATATGTTCTTACTACCAGCATGTTACATGAACTAATCCAGATGATTCTAAATGTTACATAATAATTCCTTGAGATAAAGGTACAGTATATATCAGGTGCCACTAGAGTTGTAAAGTAACTAAATAAATTTACTTGAGTACTGTACTCAAGTACCGGTAACATTTTTAGGTACAGTATTTACTTTTTAAAAAGTACTAAAAAATTTTTGTTACTCGTGACATGCAAACTAATAATACAGTGATACCCGTTAGACGGAACAATTGGTGTAGAGCACTTCCGAGAATGAGAGATTTAGAGGGTAACGGGACGACTCTCTCAAAGCCGGAAAAACCCCCATCCCCGGAATTTTCTAGGTAACGGGAAAATTTTCTCCGAATTTTCAGGAAAATGTGCCGCTCGAAAAATCGTTCCCAAAGCGGACTTTCCCTTTGATCTTGTTGTGTTCATTAGCACCTTGACCATCCACCTCACCCAGCCTACCCTCTTAACCTTTCCTTTGGGGTCTTAGTCTTCCTGTTACACGTCAGTTACTGGGGTACCTGGCTACACAGACTGTTATGTTAAATAACTGGGGTACCTGGCTACACAGACTGTTATGTTAAATAACTGGGGTACCTGGCTACACAGACTGTTATGTTAAATAACTGGGGTACCTGGCTACACAGACTGTTATGTTAAATAACTGGGGTACCTGGCTACACAGACTGTTATGTTAAATAACTGGGGTACCTGGCTACACAGACTGTTATGTTAAATAACTGGGGTACCTGGCTACACAGACTGTTAAGTTAAATAACTGGGGTACCTGGCTACACAGACTGTTAAGTTAAATAACTGGGGTACCTGGCTACACAGACTGTTAAGTTAAATAACTGGGGTACTTGGCTACACAGACTGTTATGTTAAATAACTGGGGTACTTGGCTACACAGACTGTTAAGTTAAATAACTGGGGTACCTGGCTACACAGACTGTTATGTTAAATAACTGGGGTACCTGGTTACACAGACTGTTATGTTAAATAACTGGGGTACCTGGCTACACAGACTGTTATGTTAAATAACTGGGGTACCTGGCTACACAGACTGTTATGTTAAATAACTGGGGTACCTGGCTACACAGACTGTTATGTTAAATAACTGGGGTACCTGGCTACACAGACTGTTATGTTAAATATTATGACCACAAAGGTACAGTGATCAACCATTTCCCACAGATATATAAAAACCACTATTTATTCATACTGAGTCAAGTTATAGACTCAGTGAGATGTGAAGGAGAGATGGACAGAGACTCCTCCCTACCTCCCTCCCCCATTAGCTGCAGGAGGGGGAGAGAGGAACAGAGACTCCTCCCTCCCCCATTAGCTGCAGGAGGGGGAGAGAGGAACAGAGACTCCTCCCTCCCCCATTAGCTGCAGGAGGAGGAGAGAGGGACAGAGACTCCTCGCTCCCCCATTAGCTGCAGGAGGAGGAGAGAAGGACAGAGACTCCTCGCTCCCCCATTAGCTGCAGGAGGAGGAGAGAGGAGGAGAGAGGGACAGAGACTCCTCCCTCCCCCACTAGCTGCAGGAGGAGGAAAGAGGGACAGAGACTCCTCCCTCCCCCATTAGCTGCAGGAGAGGGACAGAGACTCCTCCCTCCCCCATTAGCTGCAGGAGGAGGAGAGAGGGACAAAGACTCCTCCCTCCCCCACTAGCTGCAGGAGGGTGGGCAGGTAACAGCCAGCCAGCATGTCTCACCTTCAGCGTCACGTCACATAACTTGCCCTTCCTCCTGATGTCCTCCATGACCTGGAAGCCTCCCATGGGTAGATCATCTTGGTTAAATATAGTAAAATCATCACTCTCGACTATACTCTCTATCTCTAGTTCAAACTTGGTGTGCTCCTCCTCCATGGTCCCTCGACACAATGGCGCGGCCACAGCTGCTGTTTATAAACAAACGCCCGCAGGACACTCGCCCATTGGTCTTTACCTTCTCAATTTTAACCAATCATTGTCCACTTTAGTTCAGAGTTGGTTTTCATTGGTCCATCATGAGTCTGGTTTTCTATGTAAGGAATAAATTTTTAAAGGGGTAACTTTTAGAAATGAACACTTCTCATTGTTTCTGGTCATATTTAGTTAGTTATATCGATATTTATGCAGTAAAATTCTCATAATATTGGATCAACATGTACACAGACAGTGAGGATAAACAAATGACGGCAAACAATAAGGATAACCCAAGAAAGCCATTAGACTACTGGAGAATCCTAGTACTGTACCTTATTTCTGATGGGTCCTTATTATAGTGTCGGGGAATTAACTACAGTAACCATAAATCTATAGAAACAAATAAATAGACGTACAGCTGTAAGTAATTTAAGCGCGACATTCAACAATGCCTAAAGTGTCTGTGCGAGGAATATATACTTATGGCCACCTGTTAGAGGGATGGAGGCCAGTGGCTTTTGTAGGATCCCTCCTTTGTTCTTGATAGTTTTGTCTTGGGATGTTTCGAAGTCCAGGATTGTTGTCGATTCCACAGTGGTAGACACTAGACTGTTCATAACCACCCTCTGTGTGAAGAAGTATTTTCACGTTCGTTCTGTATGCTAACTTGGCGAGTTTGAAGTTGTGTTCCCTCGTCTTGGTGGTGTGCCAGTATTGTGTGTTCGATATGATTGTGATGGAAGCTAATTCCTGTATTGTGCATATGAATGATAAATACATTTGATTAAAGATAAATTTCTGTTCGCATATAGGACCTGTGTCCGGTAACTAAATCTGCATTCAATTTATCATTTCACCACTTATCAGCTTACAAGCAGCAGAGTACCCGGAAGAAATCTGCCATGTTTGGTAGTGTCACACTGGAATATGCACCCTTCCCAATCTGTACTGGCCCCGGGCTCGAACCCAGGACAAACTGTGAGAGATACGCACACTGCCGCTATTTTAATTCTGCTACTGTAGTGGATTTCTCCCCTACAAACGCTGTTTGTCGCTGAGTAGCCGACCCCGCGAATTCCCCAGTGTATGCCTCGTGGTCTGGGTCAACCAGCACCGCCATACATCACGGAGGTCAACTACTAAGCCACGCCTACCCCCGCTATTTAAGACCTGACCTCGTGGTGATCTCTCTCTTTCTACCTACACCAACCAGCCAGCAACACCTCCTCCTCCTCCGCCTGCCTGGTGGTCCTCGCTCCCGCCGGCGAGCATGGCGACCCACAGGCTGGTCCTCCTCTGAGCACCCTCACCAACCAGCTCTCTCTACATCACGCTTGTAACCATGCTGTCTTCCCAGCACCAAGCTGCATTGTACATCCAATACAACATGTATACAGAGAACACATTGTGAGTTTCCTTTCTCCATCCCATCCTGAGTGTGAACCAAACAACCCGTACCCCACACTACCAAAAGAGAACTGCAACCATAAAGTCGCAGTAGACTTAACAGTTATGAACGTAAATATAGATAGAATGGTTAACTTTATGAATACTGAGATGCACTACTATTAGCAGGTAGTAGGCAGCTACCAAACAGAGAGGTACTACCGCCTGGGAAGATACTGGAAGCATAATGTGTTGTCTAATGGTAGACCCGGCTGCCATATGCTCCCAGGTTGCTGATCTGACTTCTGCCTCATTTACACACAATAGCAGTGTTTCAATTGTTTCTCTTACCTTGACAACTCAATATACATACTATATATTGTTTTCCACTATTGATTTTTTTTCATTTTTTGTATTTATTATTATTATTATTATTCAATTTTTATTTTTATAATTTTTTTTACTATGAATTATTATTATTATACATATTTGTCCCCCAGGCCCCGATGTGGGTCAGTCACCTGTGGCCGGGTGGGATAATATAGGTAAAAAAAAAAAAGTAAAACAAATTATCTGACCTAAGTTATTGTAATGTTAGTGAAAATTCATCCAAAATTCATTCATTATGACTTGGTTTATTGTAGGAACTATGTCATTAATATGCAATTTATATTTGATGCAAGTATCTCATAATTTATAATTCAATTTATGTAAGGAGATTAAAATAACAGGATAATACATAATAAATATTTATTTCCAAATTCACAATAGAAATATACAAGATTACCTGTCATGTAGTATGGTCAAGATAAGCTCAGTACTGTAGTTCCTTCACACACTCATGCACAAACATAGGGCTATATGCACACGGCCTGTGCACGTGGGGTTGTACGTACACAGCTTGTGTGCATATACTAATACGTACACGTGGCTTATGTGCACATAATGGGGCTGTACGCATCAAACTGGAGATCTTACGTACAAGTGGTTTGTGTACCTATTAATAAGTACACATGGTTTGTATGTACATACGAATACGTACATATGGCTGATGTGCACATACTGGGGTTGGATGTACACATGGTTTGTACGCACATATGCACGTATTAATAGATACATGGCTGGTGTAATCTTATTAATACATACACGTACATGTATATACAAACTAATATATACACATGGCCTGTGTACGTATTGAGCTTGTATGTATACATATTTAGGTTAAACACACACACGGCTTGTATGCACAATGCACATATGGGGCGGACGTACACATATTTTATGTGTACATACGAAGGTAGGATGTACACATTCTGAAAATAATAGAGGTTGTAAGTATACACACTTCATGTGCATATATTGGGGGTTGGACGTATACACAGTTTAGTGCGCGCTTACCGGGGCTGGGTGTACACACAGCTAGTGTACACACACTGGGTTTCTGTACACACAGTTAATGTGCACATACTGGGTTTGGGTATACACACAGCTAATGTGCACATTCTGGGGTTGGACGTACACAGCTTATGCGCATATTAAGATTTGTGTACATCACGCACACGGGTTTCAGGTACACATGAGCTTTACGCACACACTAGAACTGTGTGTATGCACTGGCCCCATGTATACACACTCGCAAAAAGATTGTCTTCAATCGTCAGGACAATGTGCACACGAGCACACATAGCATGTCTCGTGCACACATGAAGTACGCAGATTAACGCACATAAAACAGGCCGTGTGTATACGTGACGTACGTACACGAACTCACAAAATAAGCTGTGTGCACACTAGGTACGCACGAACATATACATAAGATATGTGCACATGTAACGTACATACACGAACACACACATAACAGGCCATGTGCACACGGAAGGTACGCACAAGGACAGAGATGATGATGTGCACAATTTGGCAGCTTGGACGTACATAGAGGAGGGGAGGTGGCTGTGTCACTGATGAGGGGGGTGGTGGTGCCTCCCCCCTGACGCCCGTGCCATAAAAACACTGCCAGCAATAGAAAGCAACGGTGCTTCGCGTCTATCTCCAAGCTGCAACGCCTGGCGAACGTTCAGCCCGTGTCCTGCCTGCATTGGAGCTTTTATGGCACGAGCAGCAACATGCTTATGGAGGCTACGCCAGACGACCGCTCGCCCGCCTTCAGGAGCGAACTACACCTGTAGCACACCAGGACGTCACGAGACCTAATCCCATAATGAAGGGGTCAGAATTTTAATAGAGATCCCTGGAGTAAAAACTCAAGAAACAAAAGCCAGGAGAGGATTCCTCTTGATAAATATCAACTTGGTGTGTATATATATATATATATATATATATATATATATATATATATATATATATATATATATATATATATATATATATATATATATATATATATATATATATATATATATATAAGAGAACCTTCTGACATCAGTATAAGGCAAAAATTAATCACTGATAATTTCAACTAATTTACACTTTCATACTGGAAAGGTATCGTTTTGCAGTTGCCTTAAAAATTAAAGGTTCTCATTAATAAAGTAAAGCTCCCTAATTTATTCATTCTCACACGGGAAAAATATCTCCGTCAACATTATGATGAAGTTGAAAGGAACAGAGATTGTTAAAACAATATGATGTTCGGACGAGAATATAGTTATTAGTTTTTTCTTTTCTGTCAGGTGATCTTAGAGGTCATGTGACATACGGAGGGGAGGAATGCTCTCTCACTTTTCGTTAAACGAATTTCAGGATTACAAAAACTATCATACAGTCTCCCACAGGAGATTTTTTTTTTAGTATCCCTGAAACAGATTGTTTTGTATTACCGAGGCGGGGCACAACATGAGAGGTGGGCGGCGCACCAAAGTCAGGGAGCAACACTACTAACATGTTTTCCCTCACACAAACATAATTCAGAAACTTTTCATCTGAAGTCCCTGCTTCGGCGAGCTGGCCCATATCCTAAAACAAGGCTGCTTTTGTTTCACAGCTATTAAGGGGAACATCAATATTAGTCAACATCTAAGCTTAACAACATCCATATGTTGTGTCAATCACATTAAGTAACACTCATGTAAGGCATTTAATACGTTGAGTACATAGTAATCCCAGAGGGACGATAACATGATGGTGTCCACGACTATACAGTAACAACAATTACCAACTGGTTGACAAGGCATAATGTGGACATGACCCTGTACTAGGATATTACCAAGACACAGTAAATATCTCGGCCTGTAGGCAGTTAGTTAAGGAACCACACTCCTTACTAGTCACACTTTATTGCAACTAATCTCAGAACTAGTTCTTCACATCTCACGTTCAAGGAAATTCAATTACAAATTAAGACTATATATATATTCATAACAAATGAGGAATGTTAAGGTTCTCGGGGCATGGAATGTAATAACTGAGTGGTATGATCAAAGCCACACTTTGTAGTTTTCAAACAATACATCAAGAGTTTTATTCCACACGAAGCACAAATACAATAATATATAGACTCACACCAGCTCACCACACAAAACACCACAACTCTACATTTTACATACGACTCAATATTCTGGGCGGAATGTATTACAGCACAGTATTATCCTAAAATAAACTCGTGCACCCACACCTACACAAATACTTAGATGGTTATGCATGATCTAAGTTCACTGACCCTTCAAACATTTTTCAGATGTCATCAGCAACACGTTGTCTTGTGACAATGTGAAAGGCAGCGACACAAAACTTAGCGAAAATATGTAGCATTTATGGTTTCAATTTCTTGCTCCTATTACGTTCTCAATATACTGGGTTATTTGTGCTCCATATGGATAAACAACTTTTGAAATATTAAGAATGACAACTGTAGAGAATTACAAATACCAAACTTCCAAGAGTGGTACAAGAAAACTGAATATCATTTTGTCTCCAGCTATAACAGGTTCTCTACCCTGCTACTTTATGTAATTAGTCTATTATATAAAGGAATATTGTGTTATCAATTTACTCCTACGTCAATACTCGTTCATTTTCTCTTATACCCCAAGTCTATAAAAAAAATATCGCATGACTGGATTACCCTCCTATAACTAGTGTACCTATCCTTCAACACGAAACCAAGCATCAACTGCCACCTCTCGCGGTAAATTATTTTAGATTGGCTCGTATAATGAACAGAAATCCGTGTGAATGTACATAAATTAATGGCCAATGCTCTATACCAATAATTTATTGTAACTTAAATTATACAATACTCTAAATTACAGTATTTCAGTAGCATAAATGATCATTTACATTTTAGCTTATTATTGGCATGGTCCACTTCTTGAACCTATCTTGTGTCTATAATTCTTTCAGTGTTTAAGACTAACGACACTTGTTTAACACAATTATCCAACAATACTTTTATAATTACTAAACGAGAAGCTTTACCTCTGAGAACAATTCATCAAAAGTACTAAAATAATATAGCAACTTTGTCTTCGTTCAAAATATTAGTTAACAGTAATAAGTTTTGTAATGAAATAATCAGGCGAGTGTGTGGCTACTCTCAACGAATACAAGTACAGTACTTTTTCGAGCTGGTCACTGAGGTCACAGTAAGTTACATATAGTCACTTAAGCTCTGACACACAATGACCTACGCCGCGACAACTGGAATCAGACTCAACTATTATCTTCTGTTAAGAATGTGAGAAATTTGATCCTGGGTGACGATGATGAGCGGTTCAAACGATGGTTACTCATTGTAACTGAAGCAAAAATAATGCTCTTAACTGTGTGGCTTCAGTTAAAATGCAAAAATAATAAAGAAAAAACATAGAAATTGTACCAAACCTTTACCTGAACTATAAACTTTCACTTTTACAAACTTAACATTTAGAAACTTTGCTTTTGCCAAGTGCCAAATGAATATATCCAACTAACGTAGAGTCTCGGTGATATTTGGGTGTTATTTTTGGTGTCATCTTTGGATTTTAGGTAAAGTCACACAGTGAAGGGCGTTACAACATCTTTAGTTACTCACGATTCACTGAACATCGCCACTCCAACACACATTGACTCAACACTGCCCACATACAGTAGTGAGCAAAAACCTTTTACTCTTAAATTACCTACCCGGGAAAACTGTGCCAGATGTTCCCTTATCACAAGTCACACGACAAGATGATGGTTATATTCTACTGGACTAGATCATAAGTATCACAAGTTACTTTTAATGCACGTGAAGTAATTGACTTGTGGACTGACAACCATAGCTGTGGCCGGCCAGCTGATGGTGGACTAGGCTAGGCTACCCTCCTACTCCTCAAACGACTATACTATCTTTAACTCAATAACGCCATCAAGAATATATTTACTATAATACATAAATGCTTGTTTTTAAGCTGCAAAAATGTCGGGAGTTAACCTTACCAGGACGTACACTGGTTTATTTATTGAGAGAGAGAGAGAGAGAGAGAGAGAGAGAGAGAGAGAGAGAGAGAGAGAGAGAGAGAGAGAGAGAGAGGATTCGAGGGTGCCCAACGCTTGCCAGTCAACAACAGACACAAAGATGGTGTTCACTTGTCACATCGATGTTGCTGATGTCAGTATTATCGGACCTTCCTTCAAAGTCACTACCCTTACTGTTCACTCCTCCAGGTCAACGCGTTCCTCACCCTACATTATTCATTAACCCTTTCCGCTCATCCCCAAATCAATGCGTTCCTCACATCAGCACATCAACGCGTATCTCACCCTCCACCATCAACTGTTACCCCCATCAACGCGTATCTCACCCCCACAACGCGTTCCTCACCCCCACATCATGTTTTCCCCCTTACATCAACGCGTATCTCACCCCCACAACGCGTTCCTCACCCCCACATCATGTTTTCCCTCCTTACATCAACGCGTATCTCACACCCAATATCAAAATATTCCACCATTACCTCCACGATTACGTAATATCAAAATAATTTAGATAAAAACTACTCATCTTAACGTAAATATAATAAAATAATAAATAAGGACTTACACTCCTGTATGTAGTTACAAATATAATAAATTCATAAAGGAATCTGGAAAACCCACCCTACTGGAGAAAATTGTGAGACCGAAGGCTACGCTTCCCTAGACGGCGTTATGCTATGGCAGGTTGAGTTGGTACAATACTAACTAGTAATTTGGCACAGTGTTTTATATTCTATCTATACTTCCTTCTGTCTAAAATACTATACCGTCGCAGGGATATTATTCTTGTACAATTATGTAAAAACTATAGATTCTTATGGCTGATGTGTACACTTGTTTTTTTTATAAATAAAATTGAATTGTAAGTTTCATCAGCAGGTACTCGGCTCTAGTGGAAACATATTCAATAGATACAAAATTTTCTTTGCATTTACTGGGGAAAATATATTATTCGAGAGGTGATTTTAAGTGTCGGAAATAAAAGATAGCTACTAAAACTTGGCACCTGTTGATTAATATTTACTTGTACAATACACAATACCGAGTGTCTTTTGTTGTCCCCTAAGAGTTATCCCTCGATTTATTATTTATCTTGTACAACCCACCCTTCAACAATCGTCTTTAATATGGAGGACCTAAAATATACGAGCTTTCAAAACTTGATTCTTGATTAATGTTTGCTTCTAAAAGTCGAACCCTTCCTAGAGTGACGGTGTTTTGCACTGAGCGTCACATCTGATTTAGCCTTCATGTTTATAATTCAATGACGATCATCTCTTTTTTTTGTGAAGTTGTGCCAGAAAAAAGACTTACGGGTGCTGTTCCCCCCTCCCCTCGGCGACGTCAAACACCCTAAATATACCTCTATTGTTCACATACTCCTCACTATCGTCGTTATTGCTAAAATAAGGAAAACACCACCGGATTTGTATTAAGTAATTGAGCCGCAAAATAAGTGGAGTGCAAAGGGCTGGAAGACGGCAAGAAGGACTTAGAATCTCACCTTACAAACTGTAATTGAACCCTAGAGTACCGTGAGCTTGGAATTTATACACTGTAAGCTTGGCAAGAGACCATTCGTTTAGCACTGTAGGCTTGGCAAGATACCTTTAGTACAACACTATAGGCTTGGCAAGAGACCTTTTAGTACAGTACTGTTGGCTTGGGATCGGACTCAATAAAACTCCGGACTTAGAATTCGGATTTAAAAGAGTATTGGAGGCTTGGAAACGAGACCTATGTCATTACTGATAGCTGAAAAGAACTCAGATTTAGAAGGAAAAAATCATGAAAGTATAATCGGAGGGAGATCATTGTAATCTGCGGTGAGGATGATCAAATTATCTACGTATATAAAAATACCATAGACGATTCAGGAGATCTAATCCTCTCTTAACTGGCAAGACAATAACTGAGCATTTACCGTTCCTCTTTGATATGCTTCTATAAAAATTAATACTGTATCTAGTTGTTTAATAATGTTTACCCAACACACTAATGCGAACTATAATGGGCCCACATGTACTTATCAACTACATCTATCTTGCTGCTGTACGATATTGCACTAGTTAAGTAATGTACAGTTTCTGGAGTACAAAACATGGTTACCCCTACAACGTGCTCGCTGGTCCTTGTATCATTCTGTACTAAATTACCTCAACTAATATTATATAATTTATGGAATATATTTATCACTGTTTACCTTGTAGTTACAGTAGAAAGACTCACAATGGAAGATTCATATTTGGCAATGTTATGTCACAATTTGGCCACGTATGACTAACAACAATGACGGGACAGTTGTTGTTATCATTCTTATGAGTTAAATAAGAAACATAATGGCAATAAACATCGTGAGATTAACCTTGCTATAAAATGAACCATATTTCACATTAACTCAAACACCTATAACATTCAACTGTTGTAACTGAGATTAAACACTTTACTCTTACATAAGGATACAATAATCAGTACAACACAAATTCACTACAAATTTGTTATCAGTATGGAATAAATCACTGTTAAGAACTTACTGTGGTAATAATTAAATACATGGTCTGGTTGTCTCTACAGCTGACACCTGCCGTACATTGAGGACTGTGGAGAAGACAGGTTAGGAAAGGAACCAAAAAAAAAATCTTGGAAGTGTGGTGCTGGTCATACGAAGTTCCCATATTTCGACTGGTAGTTCTTATATAATAACAAAACATAAAAGCCACTGCACATCTACATCAATATATTACTAACACAGATATAACATTATCTTTATCTTTTTTATATTACTCCATCAATGAGAGTTACCCAAATACTGACTAAAATTATGAAGACTCGTTTTTAAAGACTAGCTCATTGGCTAGTGGAGTACTTGGCATCACTCGTTCCAGCCAATCAATGACCAGCAAATAATTCTTATGTAATTATTCATCGAAATAAGACGATGCTACATAATTCCAGCCAATTATTTTTTCCGTATATTTAAAGCAACACTGAAACACTACAGCAACTGTATATCTGTACATATGGGGACGGGAGACTTAACAGTATAATAATAATAATAATAATAATAATAATAATAATAATAATAATAATAATAATAATAATAATAATAATAATAATAATAATAATAATTCTCAATCATCAAATATTAAAAAAAAAGACAAATTTGGTCAATATAGACGAACAACAGTTGTCATGTAACACGTGCTATGACTGATTGTACAGGTAGCAACAGATGTTTTGATTGGATGACAACAGATTTTACTGATAACTCTAAGCAACTACATAAAATACACTTGAGAGACTTTACTCATGTTTATCCTTATTATTCGGGCAATTAACAAAAATCCTAAAAATGATTTGTACCCGAACTGGGGCTGACCACGAGGGGTCTTAAGTAGGTTTGTTGTACATTACTATACAAAATACATTCATTATTGACAGATGAAATCATGTTCAGGTAAACGGTAATACAATATGGGTTGAACTCTCTTTTCGGCTCTTACGTTACAAGTACCTTAACCTCTTTCAAAGGATGAGTGAACATAGCTTTATTCTTGCGTCTGGCACAGTTACTACACAAAGATGGCTGCCAATTTGTATGGGTTTATAAAAAAAAACACTCACTAAGACCCAGCCATGTGTTCACCTATCCCAGCTGACAAGGACAAAATAATTAACGTAAGAATCTCCGAGAATCCAAAACACTCTTGGTAATCAGAGTACAGAGCCTGGGTGAGATAAAATCACCAGTTAAGTACCAGCCAATCAGCGTCCTCATCACCATCACAAAGAGTTCAATCACCAATCACGTAACTTGAGAATAAAAGCTTATTCTTTAATTGACCAGTCACTGAATGGTTCTCAAATCATGAGCTCCAATTCCAGTATAACTACCTATTGAATTGAAGAGTTCGAATCTCAGAATACGAACTCGAAAATCAAGACGTAGAAATCCCATGACGAGAACTCACAAAATTAGAAAAGTTTTGCTTCCATGAACAACTTACGATATCAAGAGTTACAATCGCTGTATAACTCGTCAATCAAAAGTTCCAATCCCACAAGCATGGAACAATAATTGCACTTATGGAAGAGTTCATTGTACCCTGTTGAATTCCTTGTCAGATTGTCACAGAAGCATGGCATCTCAACATGGCAAGATAGACCCAGTTATATAAAGGCGGATCCGGAGGCCATTTTGGTTCGGTTTCCCAGTGAGGCTCGCATCTAGGTACGTGAAACGTCTCAATCTGTTTGAATCATCTCAAGCTGTTCAAACATGATTCGAAGTTGGGATTCTTGAAATAATGAAAAAAAGGTTAAATGGGTTCAGAGTACCCATCTATAGAGTTCGAAGCGTCTCGATATCTATTAAGAGTTCGAAATGTTTCGGTCTGCTAACAGGGCTCAAAGCGCTCCAGTCTCTGAATCAAATGACGAGACGCTTCAATCTGCTCAGAAAAGTTCAAAGCACTTCAGTCCGTTCATGAACACAGCATGAACCTTAAGAGTGCATCACACACTCTTAACCAAGTGGCAGCAGTTTCTAAAAATACCCTGATAACATATACACATATACTGCATTACAAGTTAGCGTTATATACCATTATCTTCCATCATAGATACACCTGAAACACACTTGGCTAGGATAATAGGAGAATGGGGACACAACTGGTTGATTAGCAATATGTCTGGAATAATTCGAGCACTGGGGCATTTTCCCACCAAAAGTTTGGATCCGCCTCCTACAACACGGTGAAAACAACTTTGTTCACATAACAGAGAAGGAGGTGCCATGTATCACACTGAGATTGGAGTCTCTATATATACCATTAAGGATAATATTACTCAAAATATTACCGAATATTGGGTTATAGGTACATAGTAGGTTCAGGAATATATCACTGGTTTTGTGAGCATTCTCGTGAGCATCGTACAAAGGACAGAAGTCTACACATATGCTCTAACAGGGTTGGCCAACACCACCTCCACTGCCAGGCTGCTTCCTGATTGGCTTCTGGGGGTAATGGACGTCACAGCCAAGCTGATTCATTATTGGCTATTAAAGTATATAATTAACTCCCTAAAATACTGTATCTGATTTTTAATTAATGACTAAAACTATGGTGACTCTGGTAGATGACTGCAGTGGTGTTGGCCAGACAAACCCCACAGGGAGGAACATTACACTGTGAGTTTGTTGGCAACACAAGACAGTGCTTCTCTACATTTACAATTTCCACAGTTGAAATATTTACGTTATGAAGTAAATCTTATTAAGCAAGGCAGAAAAAAAATCGTATAGACACATATTGTACTTGTTTAGTTAGTGGCGGGTGTCGAGCACCGTCTTGTGTGGCCCGTGACTCGCCTAGTTCCTCTCTGGTACAGAAACAGTAAAGTCGGTGTTAAAACCTTCTTCACTACATTAAGACATAGTTCTTAGAGCAATCAACAGGTCTGAATATTCTTCTTATCAGCCCCTTTAAGAGAGAAAAAAAAATCCAGTATTTATATATATCATCACCATCGGGGAACTATAATGACAAAATAGAAATACCTCTTATTCTATTAAATACTTCTACATGGACGGGTTTGGAGGCTATCTGAAGAACATCTGAAGATATCAACCCGGAATTTCCAAAGCGTCTTTTAATGTTGCCTAAGTATCATGGGGCGTTCTTGACCACACGAGTAACTGGATTCAGATTCTTAGCGAGTCGTACGTTACACATACTCTCGTAACTATAAGTAAGAACGGCTGTAGGCAAGTTTAAGCTTCAGAGCAATTTTGAATATATTTCGACCCCGTTGTTTGTGTTCCTGATTAAGTGAGGCCTGAAAGAAGCGTTCCCACTGGATTCTCTACCAGTCTCACACACTTACAGTTTCCTTTCTCATTGGTGACGTAAGAACGCATCTAACTGGGTCACTTAAGCGAGGGCACAAAGGCAAGAGTCAAAACAACGAAACTCTGCCATACCTTAGACACGTCTTCTTAACCTCAGTCAGGCAAAGAGACGAAGAAATAAGCTCGTGAATCCTTGAGAATCCGGAGGCAGAGTGACCACCTCAGAGCTGTCACTTGGCCACCACAGTCATTATCTTCTCTTGTAGTGGTTAAACAAAAAAGAACTCCATAGTGACAGGACTTAAGAGAGTATTTATTTATTTCGACGTTTCCCTCACAGCAACAGATCTTAATTTACGTTTCCCTCGTAGAAGGAAACATTTTTTTCCGTCACAGCAGAAGATTTTAATTCTTTCCTCACAGCAGAAGGTGATTTTAATTCTTCCGTCACAGCATAAGATCTTAATTTTTTCCTCCACAGCATAAGATCTTAATTTTTTCCTCCACAGCATAAGATCTTAATTTTTTCCTCCACAGCATAAGATCTTAATTTTTTCCTCCACAGCATAAGATCTTAATTTTTTCCTCCACAGCAGAAGGAGATCTTAATTCCTCAATAGGTGGTTAAACCCTTATTACACTGGCCAGGTATCTTGTCAATAATAAATCTTTTGTTGTTCATATGACGACAACATGAACTGAAGTGTACTATTTTGTCTAAAACTGCCATTGTCAAGTCTAAAACTGAGATTCATGTCTAAAATTGTCATTATCATGTCTAAAATTGTTATGTCTAGAAAATCTCGTTATCACTGATTAAAATTGTCGCATTCATGAAATTTTCGTTGTAAAGTTGAAAATTGTTATCACGTCTAAGATTGTCAGTTATCACTTCTCAAATTTGTCGGCATTGCCTAAAAACGCTTCGTTATCGTGTCTAAAGCGTCTCGCTATGTCTAAAATGTGTCGTTATTATATCTAAATGACTCGTTATATCTACGGTTTCTCGGTATTCTGTCTAAAATGTCTTGTTATCGTGTATAAAATTTTACGTCACCCTCAAAATTTTGGTTATCACGTCTTAAACTTGTTATCAAATTATCTTAGGTGCATTAATATATATAAACATTATATAATCTATCTATCTTATCTTGGTACTGTCAAATACTGACCGAGTATCACATCCAGTACAAGACTGTCTCTCTCACACACACACACACACACACACACACACACACACACACACACACTCACACACACACTCACACACACAGTATTATTCTTTCTCTCTTTATTCTTTCGTAGAAGAAAAAGATTATGGAATGGGTAATAAGAGAAGGAACAGGAAGAAGATTGAGAACATTGCGAGGAAGAACCAGAAGAAGCGGTAAGAGGAGAGACACACACACACACACACACACACACACACACACATTATCTACATAACCTACTACACTTCCTGTTAGGTTCATGGAATGGTTTAAATGTTAGGCAGATTGTCTTTTCTTCTCTACATGTAAGAATATGTAAGATTAAGCAAATTGTCTTATCAGGATTAACATTATCAAGCGTCATCGGCTCTTTCTTGCTTAAAAGACAAATAATTGGTTAAGAATATTTACTTGTATTCATTATGAATAAGATGATAAGGTCAGTTATTTACGACGGAAATAACCAACAACGACAAGATCAACACACTTGAGAAGTGAAAAAAATAAAAATGGTTTCATATTAAAGATCAGAAGAAAAAATATATATATGTATAAAGAAATGGTGTGACTCGGCCGACACAGAGGAGTTACAGCGACTCTCTCCGTCACGTTAATTCCCCTTTTTCTAAATGACCAAGTTAAAGCATATATTAGTAACAGAAAAATATATCAATTGAACTATGGAATTCTAAGTTACTATGTCAGATGTGTCAACCATGGGCAGGGGAGGCAGGTGAAGACTGACGAGGCTCAAGGTTGGTCCGCAGCGACGGGTGTGGGTTGACGTGCGTCCTTCACTAACGGCAGTGGAAGGATATCAACTTCTGGGCTGGAGGTGACATCCCTTTGGGAGTCCCTAGGTGAGGGATGTTTCTGTAGGGCAGCCAAGGTGCTGCGAGCTGCCAGGGCGGGGAAGGAGTAGAGGGTGTTGAAGGCCATGATCCCCTGAGGTTGTATCAGTGGTGGCGTGGAGGCCTCTTCCACCCTCTGCTGCTGCTGCTGCTGCTCCATCACCAGCCCCTTCGTCAGGCTCAGCAGGCTCGACGACACTTGCCAAGACGTATCGTTGCTCGGGAGGGGACTGTTACTGCTGCTGTTGCTGCTGCTTGTTGTTGTCGTTTTGTTAGCACTTGTGGTTGTTGTTTTCCCCCTCAGCAGGGCGTCTAGCACACTGCCCTGGTAGGGGGGCGTGGGTGAGGGCTCCTTGGACAAGTTGGTGGCAACAGGTGAAGTGGAACGATCATTACCAGGTGGGGAGAGGGAGCTGACCCCAGCATGACTTTTGGCAGCCGCCTCCTGGAACCTCCGGATCATCTGTGAGGCGTAGAAGGGGTCCTGCTGGTAGCTGGAGAGGAAGGGAGGCACCATGTGGGCACCGTTCCAGAGGGTGAACGGACTGGTTAGAAGAGGGGTGGACGATAAGGGCGACGGAGTGATGGAAGTGGAGGACAGAGGCGCGGACGAGAGTGGCGGATAGCTGGAGTAGGTTCCTGTATCACCATCCACACGAGCCTTCTTCATCAATGGTCGAGTTACATTTTCCTCACTCTTGGAACTTTCTTCACCCGTCATATCGATAGTGGACGTGGTGTCTGCTGGGGTCTTTATCGTCTCTGCTGGGAGTCTCACAGTGTCTACTGGACTTCTAGTGTTGTTTTCCTTCTTGATTCTATCAACAGGGGAGGAGCAGCTCGATGAGGAGGTGTTCATTTCTCTCTTGTTCTTACCGCGACTGAGGTGTCTCTCCTTCACCTTATACTCGAGGGTTGAGTGTGGGACACCGTAGAAGCTCCCGGCCCTGTGGACACTCATCTCTCCACTCTGCACCGCCTGCACCGCCTTCAGGAGATTATCCCTGTCGTAGTTTCTGTATTTTCCTCGTTTCGGTCTTGAGCCTTTACCTCCTGTGGGCGAGGACGAGGACGAGGAGCCTTTCTTGTTTTGGTCTCGCTTCTCCCCGTTAAGCTTGGTGTCAGAGTCTGCCAGGGAGGTGAAGGAGAATCCTGACTGGTGCAGCTTTCCACCTGAGCTGTTCCCAGTGGAACTTTCTTTACCAAGTGGAAGTTCGCAGCCCAGCTTCTGTCCAATCATCTGGGCGATCATTTCCTTAAGGTTGGGACTGGGAAGGGACGAGATCAGCGACTGACTAGAATGGTTGGAGTCCGTGGTGACGGGGTCGGCGGACTCTGCCTTCACGAGTCCGTTACAAGAAGGGGAGTAGGACGGGACGGTCAGGTCACAGTTGTCACCTTTGAGGCCGTTGACGGCGTGAAGGTCCACCACCGACCCGTTCAATCTGGACTTACTTCTTTGTAGTTCTTCGTTGTATCGTTCTTCGACGACCTTTTTGATGAAGTCACTTAACTGAGGGTAGAAAGAGATGCTGCTGAGGACCTCCGTCGACACCTCCTTGTTGTCTTTGTTGAGGGCCAGCTTCGGGATGTTCTCCATCAGGTACTTGAGCGCCGATTCCACCACCTTCTTGTTGTCTCCGCCGCCCAGACCTTTACGACTCATCTCCTCCAGTTTCTCGGCCATCTTGTTCTTGAGCAGCGTCCTGAAGGTCTCTGGGGAAGAGTTCATCTCGTGGTCCAGGTCGCTGGTCACCCCACTGGCGTCACTCACGCCATTGTGGAAGTGTGGGAAGGCCTTCGTCTCCGGCACCAAACTGGAGTTGGTCTGTTCCGCCAGTTTTTTATTTCGATCTCGCTCCATCGCTAATTTATAAACCTGTAAAAAAATAGAAAAGAGAAAACAAATAAAAAATAGCTGATATCCGCCAATTTCTTCTTTCATTCTCTCTCCTTCACTAATTTAAAAACCTGTACAAAAATAAATAAACAAAATTATCATTTATCTAACTAGGTAATAAATAATAAAGGTATTATTCCCTGACTACTTTTAGCTCCATGAAAATAGCCAGAACTTTTGGAAAATCATCATCATCATCATCATCATCATCATCATCATCATCATCATCATCATCATTATCATCATTACTTTACCGTTCTATGGCCCTTTACCACACATAAGCCGTAATTATGTTGATGGCAGCTGTCTATGTTGGGCAGCGTCTTGCAGCCTCTCTCGTCAGGTTCTTTGTCTCTCAGGTTAATGCTTACAACACCTCCCCAAATGCCGGTGTTAATTTTACCCATCCGCCTGCCTGTGACTCTGCCCACCCAGCAGCTAATTTTGAGACTTTATCCACCGGAAAATTTCACGTGTTGCCACCATACCAAATCGAAGTTGAAAATCTGATATATTATGAACTAATTTGACCTTCATTTCTGGCGCAAATCAATAGTTTCTAAGAAGAGCCCCCCACCCCCCCTCTCATCTCAGAATCTACAGATTTGCTAACCTAACCTAACCTAACCTAACCAAACCAAACCTAACCTAACCAAACCTAACCCAGGGACTCCACAGTTCAAGGTGTGTACCGCCACATACGAACATACATAATAAAATGTTAAATATCTCGCTTAAACGTAATTTGAGCCAGAAATACCATTGAAGAAAAGTATTTTAGAATTGTTAAAACTATTGATTACAACTACAAAATTCCCGAGATTAGTGTAGTGGCAACACCCATATTTAAGATTCGTCATATAAACAATAATAATAGTTACTTTGTTCCTGAGGGTAGAGCGCGGAATGCCATAGATGACTGCCGCTCTCCTGGTGCCCAACTTGCCACTCTGAATGTCTCTCAACGCTGCCTGCAACTCCTCCTCAGTGTATGACCTTTTACTCATGTCACCTCGCCGCCGACCTCTGTGCAATGTAACACAACGTGAACAATCGGGAACAAGAACATTTTCATTATTCATAGAGCCTCCCCACTATACAGTACACCTGCGTACACCTGTAACACCGGTGTACTAGAACGTGTAAAGGGATAGAGAAACGAATACAGATTTGTTATAGTGAATGTATGACACAAGTAACACGAAAAGAGAGAGAGAGAGAGTATTACCTGGTGGAGGTTATCTTGGGGTCTATAGGAGGGAGGGGCTTCACGGCTTCGTAGGTGGTGGTGGTGGTGGGGGTGTGGTGGTGGTGGTGGTGGTGGTGCTGCATCAAGGAAGTGTTCAGCTCAGATTTGACGGCGGCGGTCAGGTGAGATTTGGCACTCAGGTCAAGTGGCTGCTGCTCCTTGTCCTCCGTCAGCGCCTCTTGGGACTCCTGTTGCGCCTGTTGGAGGAGGACATGTTGTTACTTAAGGTTGTCAGTTTAAGGTTGGTCAGGTTAGGTTAGGTCAGGTTAGGTTAGGTTAGGTTAGGTTGTGTCATCTTAATAATTAAGTTAGTTTAAGATATGTTAAGTTAGGTCAAGTTAGATTAGGTTCGGTTAGGTAAAGTTAAGTTAGGTAAGGTGAGTTAGGTTAGGTTAGGATAGGTTAGGTTAGGTTCGTGTCGCCTGAAACATAGAAGCACCCGGTGGTCGTGTTCGTGGGTAATTTTTTAACATTGACCGTTTTGTGACGTGGCGACGCATATGTTATTGAGGCGAACATCTGAGGCGATAATACCATTGTAGGATACCATTGTAGGATACCATTGTAGGATACCACTGTAGGATACCACTGTAGGATACTACTGTAGGATACCAAAAGAGTTATAAGGAACTGGATGACGTATCGAACGTTGATTAGTTCTGAGAGAGAGAGAGAGAGAGAGAGAGAGAGAGAGAGAGACTCACCTGGTGGACCCTGGCCAGCTGGTGGAGGTGTGAGGAGAGAATCCAGGGCAGGAGGTGTGGAGGGAGGTTGGCAGTGTAGAGGTCGAGAGGCAGACGAGGACCTCCAACCTCCCCGCTTAGAACCCCTAGGGACCCAACACCTTGCCCGAGGGTACTCATATAGGGCCTCGGCACACAGCCTCTCGAGAGAGTCGACGAGGAGGGCGTGGATGGAGGTCGTGGGGTGGAGAGGTCGAGTGTGGTGGCCTCCTCAGGGCGGAGGTGGTGGGCATCTGCTGTGAGGTCCTCCGGTGGGGCAGGTGAGGTCGAGGCTCTCCCTGGTGAGTCCTCGGGGCATGTGTGAGGAGTGTCTGCTGCCTCTGACGGCGCCTCCGTCTGTAGTAATACAAGGTGTTATGAGTGCAAGGCCTTACTGGTGACACGTGTCTTACTGGTGACACGTGTCTTACTGGTGACACGTGTCTTACTGGTGACACGTGCCTTAATGGTGAGACGTGTCTTACTGGTGACACGTGTCTTACTGGTGACACGTGTCTTACTGGTGACACTGTCTTACTGTGACACGTGGTGACACGTGTCTTACTGGTGACACTGGTGACACGTGTCTTACTGGTGACACTGGTGACACGTGTCTTACTGGTGACACTGGTGACACGTGTCTTACTGGTGACACTGGTGACACGTGTCTTACTGGTGACACGTGTCTTACTGGTGACACTGGTGACACGTGTCTTACTGGTGACACTGGTGACACGTGTCTTACTGGTGACACTGGTGACACGTGTCTTACTGGTGACACTGGTGACACGTGTCTTACTGGTGACACTGGTGACACGTGTCTTACTGGTGACACGTGTCTTACTGGTGACACGTGTCTTACTGGTGACACGTGTCTTACTGGTGACACGTGTCTTACTGGTGACACTGGTGACACGTGTCTTACTGGTGACACGTGTCTTAGTGGTGACACGTGTCTTAATGGTGACACGTGTCTTACTGGTGACACGTGTCTTACTGGTGACACGTGTCTTAATGGTGACACGTGTCTTACTGGTGACACGTGTCTTACTGGTGACACGTGCCTTAATGGTGACACGTGTCTTACTGGTGACACGTGTCTTACTGGTGACACGTGTCTTACTGGTGACACTGGTGACACGTGTCTTACTGGTGACACGTGTCTTAGTGGTGACACGTGTCTTAATGGTGACACGTGTCTTACTGGTGACACGTGTCTTACTGGTGACACGTGCCTTAATGGTGACACGTGTCTTACTGGTGACACGTGTCTTACTGGTGACACGTGCCTTAATGGTGACACATGTCTTACTGGTGACACGTGTCTTACTGGTGACACGTGTCTTACTGGTGACACGTGCCTTAATGGTGACACGTGTCTTACTGGTGACACGTGTCTTACTGGTGACACGTGTCTTACTGGTGACACGTGTCTTACTGGTGACACGTGTCTTACTGGTTACACCGGTGACACGTGTCTTACTGGTGACACTGGTGACACGTGTCTTACTGGTGACACTGGTGACACGTGTCTTACTGAAACACTGGTGACACGTGTCTTGCCTGTTCGACACGTGTCTTAGTGGTGACACGTGTCTTAATGGTAACACGTGTCTTACTGGTGACACTGGTGACACGTGTCTTACTGGTGACACTGTTGACACGTGTCTTACTGGTGACACTGGTGACACGTGTCTTACTGGCACTGTTGACACGTGTCTTACTGGCACGAGGTCTTACTGGTGACACTGGTGACTGTGAGTCTTACTGGTGACACTGGTGACACGTGTCTTACTGGTGACACGTGTCTTACTGGTGACACGTGTCTTACTGGTGACACTGGTGACACGTGTCTTACTGGTGACACTGGTGACACGTGTCTTACTGGTGACACTGGTGACACGTGTCTTACTGGTGACACTGGTGACACGTGTCTTACTGGTGACACTGGTGACACGTGTCTTACTGGTGACACGTGTCTTAGTGGTGACACGTGTCTTAATGGTGACACGTGTCTTACTGGTGACACTGGTGACACGTGTCTTACTGGTGACACTGTTGACACGTGTCTTACTGGTGACACTGGTGACACGTGTCTTACTGGTGACACTGGTGACACGTGTCTTACTGGTGACACTGGTGACACGTGTCTTACTGGTGACACTGGTGACACGTGTCTTACTGGTGACACTGGTGACACGTGTCTTACTGGTGACACTGGTGACAAGTGTTTTACTGGTAATACAAATGACTCAAATATTACATGTTTTATAATTATTATTATTATTATTATTATTATTATTATTATTATTATTATTATCATCTTGGATTGTAAATGACATATAACATATTGTAAATATCTGTAAGTGAATCATTATATTTTATTATGGAATCATGAGATAATGTCACAATAATGTTTACATAGTAACATAGTCTATACTATCCCACTGTGTGTGTGTTTTGGTGGTGACTGTATAGTGGAAATAATCTTCACATCTGAGCACAGACTCAACACATCCTGTAAAGCGTGTCAGTGTTTCGTCATAACTCAGATCATACAATAGATTTCCAGCCTCGACCGACCACAAGTATCCGACCACAACTCGTAGTCCATTTTAAAACATCCTGGACATCACGAAGCTAACCTAACCTAACCTAACCAAACCTAACCTAACCAATTTTCATACCAATTCTAACAAAACATAAGCAAACCTAATTTAACCTATTATAGCCTAACCTAAGCTAAGCTAACCTAAAGACCATAATATTTTCTGACAGCCGGACCATTTAAACACTCAATCTGGAAAAAAAATAAGTATCCCTATCTAGCTTTATACAATGACTTAGGGATTTCATAAGTGATTTTACACACACACACACACACACACACACACACACACACACACACACACACACAAAACACTCACCAGGTGTGCACTGTGCTCGCCCTGGCAGACGAAGCAGGGGGCGGTGGGATTCCAGTCTTGTGGTTGTTCATGTTCAGTGGGCAGCGGAACGTGAGAGGCTGAGGAACTGCCTGACGCTGGGTACAGATCTGAACGTGCACTTTAGCCCGCTGACTCCCCCATTAGTTCTTCCAGCACGCGTTCTAGGCCTGGAGGAGAGTGATGTTAGAAGCTATAAGAGAGATAATGGTTGAGAGATACAAACAATGGGAGACATGGTTAAGAGATACTGGGCGGGTAGAGAGATACAGACAATGGAAGAGACAAGAGATTGAGCAAGTATTTCGTCACCACCGTAGGAAAACAGGGAAGATGATGAGAGACACAGCGAGATATAGGAACAGATGAGAGACACAGGGAGATATAGGAACAGATGAGAGACACGGGGAGATAGGCAGACATGAGAAAAGAACAAACACAGGAGAAAATGAGACAAAATTTGTCATATTTACTAATGCTACAACTACCAGGTCTCTCTGCATTTCTCAGTTCTTCTAGATCAGAGTTCATGATTTTGTCTTGAATGTTTTTAAGTACAGCATTGGACAGGCCAAGGTTACGGTCAACATTTTCTTTCTTACATGCCTCATTGGCCAGTCTATCAGCACGGTCATGATACTTAATTCCAACATGGGACGGAATCCACACAAATTCAATACAAAAGTTGTTCTCCTTAGCAGTTACCACATTTCTTTTATTATCACAGACAACTTTAGACATTGAGCCTGACGGTCTGTTCATCGATTGTAAAGCACTTTGGGAGTCACAGAATATCACCCCACCTCCATTTTCTTTAAGGTACTGTAGTCTGTAGCTAAGTAGATTCCCATTAGTTCAATCTGTATTGTGCTGACCCTTCTGGCAAGTTAGTAACGCTGTACCCATACCGGATCACTCAGCATGTAAACTTTGTGATAAACCTTTAAAGCAAACACTTGAACACTATATTATTGAATGCGACACTGTCAAAGACTTTAGGCCACCTGGCTTATTGTATCATGAACTATGTAATTACTACATTAAATCAGGAGTGCTTGAGGACATTCTTCAGATCTATCCAGAATTTGTTAGTCCACACTGATTAGTCCTCAAATAGAATATGATTTATACTGTATATGAACCATTGTCCTATGTGGCAGTGAACAGTGATAGCACACAAGTAGGCAAGTTGTACTCCAAGCTTTGATAATAAAGTTGTTAGCTAAACTATACACACACACACACACACACACACACACACACACACACACACAGAAGAAACAATTTCGGAACTGAGAACTACAATGACCTGCCAATCTCGTCTCTCCACAGGCTCAAGAGACGGTGAAAGACAGAGTTGCTGATGAAGAGATTAGATGGAAACTGGGATAAGAAAGGCAGAGGAAAAAATAGAGGAGGTGAGATGGGGAGAAGAAGGGCGGGCGATTGGTGGGTTCATAGAACAAGTTGGGTTCATTCAACAAGGCGAGTTCAGGCAGAAAAGTGGGTTCATTCAAAGTGGTTGCTACGGCAATGATGATGGTTGTCAATACTACACATCCTGGACATCACCCGCTCTCTCCCAGGCCTCTCACACCTCTCCCAGGCCTCTCCACCTCTCCCAGGCCTCTCCACACCTATCCCAGGCCTCTCACACCTCTCCCAGGCCTCTCACACCTCTCCCAGGCCCTCCCACCTCTCCCAGGGCTCTCACACCTCTCCCAGGCCTCTCCACACCTCTCCCAGGCCTCTCACCTCTCCCAGGCCTCTCCCTCCCACCTCCTCTCCCAGGCCTCTTACACCCTCACACCTCTCCCCAGGCCCTCACCTCTCCCAGGCCTCTCCACCTCTCCCAGGACTCTCCACACCTCTCCCAGGCCTCTTACACCTCTCCCAGGCCTCTCACACCTCTCCAGGCCTCTCACACCTCCTCCCAGGCCTCCTCACACCTCTCCCAGGCCTCTCACACCTCTCCCAGCCTCTACACCTCTCCAGGCCTCTCACACCTCTCCCAGGCCTCTTACACCTCTCACCTCTCCCAGACCTCTCCTCCTCTCCCAGGCCTCTCCACCACCCCTCCCAGGCCTCTCCACACCTCTCAGGCCTCTCACCTCCCAGCCCTCTCCACACCTCTCCCCAGGACCCTCTCCTCTCCTACACTTGCATCTACTTACACCCACCTACACCCATTTACACCCACCTACATCCATTTAGACCCACCTACACCCATTTACACCCACCTACATCCATTTAGACCCACCTACACCCATTTACACCCACCTACCATTTAACACCCACCTACACCCATTTATGCCTACCTCACCCATTTATCCCACCACCATTTATACCCACCTACACCCATTTATACCCACCTACACCCATTTATACCCACACATTTATACCCACCTACACCCATTTACACCCACCTACATCCATTTAGACCCACCACCCATTACACCCTACACCATTTACACCCACCTACACACCCATTGCCTACCTACACCCATTATACCACCTACACCCACCTACACCCATTACACCCACCTACACCCATTTATACCCCTACACCCATTTATACCCTACACCCACCTACACCCATTTATACCCACCTACACCCATTTATACCCACCTACCATTTACACCACCTACACCCACCTACACCCATTTGCCCCTACACCCATTTATACCCCACCTACACCCATTTATCCACCTACACCCATTATACCTACCTACACCCATTTATGCCACCTACACCCATTTATGCCCACCTACACCCACCTACACCCATTTATACCCACCTACACCCATTTATACCTACCACCACACTTACACCCATTTACACCCCATTATTATTGTTTGTCAAGATACTCTAGATATTGTGTAGCTTATCTGTCTGTCTGTCTGTCTGACTGTCTGTCTGTCTATGTCTGTCTGTCTCTGTCTGTCTGTAATGTCTGTCTGTCTGTCTGTCTGTCTGTCAGTCTGTCTGTCTGTAATGTCTGTCTGTCTGTCTGTCTGTCTGTAATGTCTGTCTGTCTGTGTCTGTAATGTCTGTCTGTCTGTCTGTAATGTCTGTCTGTCTGTCTGTCTGTTGTAACCTGTCTGTCTGTAATGTATGTCTGTCTGTCTCTGTCTGTCTGTCTGTAATGTATGTCTGTCTGTCTGTAATGTCTGTCTGTCTGTCTGTCTGTAATGTCTGTAATGTCTCTCTGTCTGTCTGTCTGCTATCTGTCCTGTAATGTCTGTCTATATGTCTGTAATGTCTGTCTGTCTGTCTGTCTGTCTGTAATGTCTGTGTCTGCTTCTGTCTGTCTGTCTGTCTGTAATGTGCTACTCTTAATGTCTGTAATGTCTCTGTTCTGTCTGTCTGTATGTCTGTAATGTCTGTCTGTCTGTCTGTCTGTCTGTCTGTCTGTAATGTCTGTCTGTCTGTCTGTCTGTCTGTCTGTCTGTCTGTCTGTAATGTCTGTCTGTCTGTCTGTCTGTCTGTCTGTAATGTCTGTCTGTCTGTCTGTCTGTATAATGTCTGTCTGTCTGTCTGTCTGTCTCTATGTCTTATGTCTGTCTGTGTCTTATGTCTGCCTGTCTGTAATGTCTGTCTGTCTGTCTGTCTGTCTGTCTGTAATGTATGTCTGCCTGTCTGTAATGTCTGTATGTCTGTCTCTGTCTGTCTGTCTGTCTGTATTATGTATGTCTGCCTGTCTGCTGTCTGTATGTCTGTAATGTCTGTCTGTCTGTCTGTCTGTCTGTGTCTGTAATGTATGTCTGCCTGTCTGTATCTGCATGTCTGTCTGTCTGTCTGTCTGTATGTAATATGTCTGGTGTCTGTAATGTCTGTCTGTCTGTCTCTGTCTGTCTGTAATGTCTGTAATGTATGTCTCTGTCTGTATGTCTGTAATATCCTGTCTGTCTGTCTGTCTGTATCTATCTATGTCTTATGTCTGTCTGTCTGTCTGTAATGTATGTCTGTCTGTCAATGTATGTCTGTCTGTCAGTATGTCTGTAATGTCTGTGTCATATGTCTGTCTGTCTGTCTGTCTGTAATGTCTGTGTCTTATGTCTGTGTCCTTATGTAATGTCTGTATGTCTATGTCTGTCTGTCTGTCTGTCTTATGTCTTATGTCTTATGTCTGTCTGTCTCCTGTAATGTCTGTAATGTCTGTCTGTGTGTGTCTGTAATGTCTGTATGTATGTCTGTCTGTCTGTCTGTAATGTCTATATGTATGTCTGTCTGTCTGTCTCTGTAATGTCTGTAATGTATGTCTGTCTGTCTGTCTGTAATGTCTGTAATGTCTGTCTGTCTGCTCTGTAATGTCTGTGTAATGTATGTCTGTGTCTGTAATGTCTGCTTGTCTTATGTCTGTCTGTCTGTAATGTATGTCTGTCTGTCAATGTATACCTTGTGTCTGTGTCTTATGTCTGTCTGTCTGTCTGTCTGTACTTAATGTCTGTATGTCTGTCTATGTCTTGTAATGTATGTCTGTCTGTCTGTCTGTCTGTAATGTCTGTAATGTATGTCTGTGTCTGTAATGTCTGTCTGTCTGTCTGTAATGTCTGTAATGTATGTCTGTGTCTGTAATGTTTGTCTGTCTGTCTGTAATGTCTGTAATGTATGTCTGTCTGTCTGTCTGTCTGTAATGTCTGTAATGTATGTCTGTGTCTGTCTGTCTGTCTGTCTGTTTGTAAGGAGAGAGTAGAGAGGTGGATGAGAGGGAAGTAGAGGTGGATGAGAGGGTAGAGAGGGGGGTGGATGAGAGAGAAGAGAGGTGGATGAGAGGAAGTAGAATTAGATGAGAGTTGAGAGGTGGATGAGAGAGTAGAAGAGGTGGATGAGAGTAGAAAAGGGTGGATGAGAGGAAGTAAGAGAGGGGTGGATGAGAGGATTGAAGAGGTTGGATGAGAGGTAGAAGAGAGATTGGATGAGAGTAGAGAGGAGGAGGGTGGATGAGAGTAGAGAGTGAGAGGGTTGAGGGTGGTCGACAGGAACAAGGCATCACCGTTCAACCTTCTTCCAAATTAAGATCAAGATACTCGGGGGCAAGAAAGTGCCAAGCCCTCGGCAGGCCAGACAGAGTGATCCTTCAACCGAGAAATAAGGGCGGGAAGGAGGAAAGTGATAGGCTTGTTGCTCACTGGTCCAGCACTACCTGAGCCAGCCGCGTTACCCGGACGACCAATGATGCTAGACCCTCCTCACTCCTCCCTCACTCCACCCCTCAATCCTCCCCTCACTCCTCCCTCAGTCCTCCCTCCTCCTCCCTCCTCCACCCCCCACCCCTCCTCTCCCCTCACTCCACCCCTCCACTCCTCCCCTCCTCCTTCCCCTCACTCCTTCCCTCCACCCCCCTCAATCCTCCCCCTCACTCCTCCCCTCCTCCACCCTCAATCCTCCCCCCTCCCCCCTCCCCCCCACCCCTCCCCACCCCTACCCACCTCCCCCCCTCACTCTCCCTCTCCCTCCTCCCCTCCTCCTTCACTCCACCTCCCCCCCTCCTCCCCTCCCCCCTCCCTCCTTCCCTCCCTCCTCCCCTCCCCTCCCCACCCTCCCTCCCCTCAGTCCTCCCCTCCCTCCACCCCTCCCTCCCTCCCCCCTCCACCCACCCCACCCCTCCCCTCCCTCCCTCCCCCCCCCTCTCAAGTGACTCCTCCCCCTCCCTCCCCTCCCTCCCTCCCTCACCTCCCTCCACCCCCTCCCTCCCCCCCTCCCTCCCCACCCTCAGTCCTCCCCTCACTCCCACCCCTCCCTCCTCCCCTCACCCTCCCCTCACCTCCCTCCTCACCCCCCACCCTCCCCTCCCTCCCACTCTCAAGTGACTCCTCCTCACTCCTTCCCCACTCCTCCCCTCACTCCTACCCTCAGTCCTCCCTCACTCCTACCCTCAGTCCTCCCTCCTCCCTACCCTCAGTCCTCCTCCTCCTCCCCTCACTCCTTCCTCACCTCCTCCCCTCCACCCCTCACCTCTCCTCAATTGGCCGGCCCTGTCCTCACTCTCCCCTCACAGGTGAGAGGCTGAGGTAGGAGAGGGAGAGAGTGAGTGGGAGAAGAGTGGGAGAAGGAAGTGAGGTGGGAGGAAGAGAGTGAGTGGGAGGAAGTGAGGTGGGAGAAGAAGGAGAGGAGGGAGAGAAGAAGGAGAGTGGGAGGAAGAAAGTGATGGGAGGAAGAAAGTGGGAGGAAGAGAGGAGGTGGGAGGGAAGAGAGTGAGGAGG